CAGAAGTGCAGCTTACCTGTCCTCCACGGCCCCTGGGAGTGGCCGAGTGTGTGGGGCAGATGCGCTTGGTGCCTCAGGGGAAAGAGGCTGCACACGGAAGGGGCTAGCGGGAGCACTTTTTGCACACCCCTGGACACTGGGCACTGGCACAGGCCTTCAGAGATTCCTTTTTGCTCCTCTGGACAGTCAACACACATCATTCTATTTACCAAGCGCTTGGCTGCATTTGGGAAGGGAAATTCAGTATCAGGAGAGGAAAGAAACCATCAGCCCCCAGCCCCTGGGTCCCCACCACATAGAAGGGAAGTTGGCTAATCCCACCACAGCTAAATGGGGGCTTTCTAAGCGAAGTTTCACAGAACTATCCACAATTCACCTTAGCATGAGGGAAAGCATATTCTAAAACCACTCCAGGATTTTTTTTTACTCTAGCTTTTAGACCGAGAAATTTAATCAAACCCTTCATAAAAGGCCATTTTCCTCTGACTTAGCTTTTCCATTTCAGGAGCAGAAATGTTGCACAAGGTGGAAAAAAAAGTAATTTAAAAACACCATTGAACTGAATTTGCTTTACTGCCTCTGGAACAACATTTTATAGGAAAAGCCCATACAGCTAGAGTCCCCTAGGGAGCATGACAGGGGGTGATGACATTGTAGTTGGCAGCCTGAGATGACAAACACATGTGCTGCATTGGTAGAGCTACACCTGTGGGCTCCCTCTGCCGGGAAGGGGAGGGGGGTGCCTAGAAACCACTAGACTGACTCTCAGATTACCCGCCTCACTGTGTTAATCTCAGACCGTGGTGGAGGGTGGGGATAAGACACTGGCCTACAACCAACCTCAGTGAAAGAAAAGTCTAATAATCACTAACAAAAACAAACAGTAATGTTCTACATACACTGGACTTACCATATGCCACTCTATACCATTAATGAAATTTGTTCTCATAAGAACTCTACGCACTCAGTACTGTTTGAGCTGTTTCCTAGATGGGCAAAGTGAGACAAAGGGTTTGTGACTTGGGCATTCCACATAGCTAGTAACCTGAAGCGAATATTTCTACCCAGATTCCTCGACTGTGCTACTGACGTGCCACTAAGTGTATTATATGCTACTTGGCTTAAGAGTTCATTGTGAAATGTTTTTTCTCAGCTTTAGTAGGGCCTGGAATTATTTATAAATTTAGAGGGAGTCTGCAGACTTGTGAGAGAGTTCACCCTCTTTAGTCCAAATAATCTCAAGGTCAGAGAACCGTTTCTGGAGTCCTGCAGCTGATTAAGTGCCAGTTCAAATAATCTCCAAGAAGATTTTACTAGGGTGTTAGTATTACTGTTGCATCATTTTCTTCACATGACACGAAAGGCCTCAGGACTTGGATTTGCCTGTGCCCCTGTTGTAGACCACTCTGCCTGATTTTAGGAATTGTATCTCTACCCCTTGTGGCTAAGGGTGAGAGACAACCTTTGGAATGCCAGCCGCAGGAGACAAAGCTTGTCTCTGGTAGCAAACGGTGCCTCAGTTTCCTCTCCCTGCCCCCAGAGCTTGGTCAGAAGTCAATGATGGGTAAGACCCCTCACAGCGGGGGGCAACCTAAACCAGACTGGATCACTTGGGAGGCCTTCATGGAAGGACTGGGGGTGGGGGGGCTGCAACAGAGAGAAATGGACTCTCCCCCCCTAGCTTTGTCAAAGCCTGAGTCCCCATGTTCTTTGGGAGAAGCGCTTCCTGGCTCTAATCCCCTTAAGCCTGAATACCTGTTGGGGAGAGGTGCAGCTCCTTGCCTGGCCAGAGCGTGCCCTAGGGAAAAATCTGGCACCGCAAAGACTTGCTGATAAACCTGTGAAATCTGCTCTGCTAAGAGTGCTTTCATTCATATGATAAAGGTCCAAGAGGAAATGAGTATGTCTCCCAAAGTTTCTGCAACTCTCTTCCTGACACTCACTCAGACTGAAACCTCAGACTTCTTTGAAATGTTATCTACTGTTTGATCCTTGCCACCCTGTATTCCTGTGTATTACAACCCAATAAAAAGCTATGGAAGAGGGCGCTCGGGGCCTTTTTCTCCTCAGAGAAACGGGCTGCTGCTGGCCTCTTTCTCCCCAGAGAAATTGGCCACAACCCACTCCTCCATCCCCAAACCGATCCAGCATGTCTCAGCCATATTTATTCACTCACGTGTGTCCGTGGCACCGGGGGGACCTCGTGAAAGAAGTCGCCCCTGCATGCCCCTGCTATCAAAACTACACTGAAGTTTTTTTCCTTAAAATCTACTTTGGATTACTTTGTTCTAAGACCCACTCCAAGATTCCAGAGGCAGTAATACATCAAAGCAGGGGGTGGCAAACATTTTCTGGAAAGGGACAGATATTTTAGGCTTTCAGGTCACACGGTCTCTGCCGATGCTACTAGACTCTATGTGGTAGCCATAGACAGTACTAAACCAATGGGTTCATGCCATGTTCTAATAAAACTTTATTAAAAACAGGTGACAGGCCATATTTGGCTCAGAGGTCTTCCTGTGCTGACCCCTGTATTAAAAGAGCACACTTCTGGACCCCTCCCAATGTCCTTCAAAGTACAAAGCCCACATCACCTAAAACCTGGAGTGTCCTACTGCCCATTAGTTGATTTTGCCCCAGAGGGGTGGAGCCACATATCAGATTGGTGAAGTTAGGAAAAATAAACCGGACCTGCCAGACTCAACTCTGCCCCTTTTCTCTTGGTAGTGCCTGGTCCGCAGCGAGTGGGGGTTCTGCTTGGCCTTTTTTGGAGCCCATAGCCGTGGTGGGAGGGTGGGTAAATCTGCCCGATCCTGAGTGTCATGTCCCCAAACCCATCTCCACCAAGTTCCTAGTAGTCCTGCAACATGGCTTTTATCTTTGATGATAGATATGTGCCTTGGCCCTCATCTGCTTAGTCTTTTATCTTATTTCCCAATAGCTTCAAGGTGGTAATTAAGAAGACCTCTCAAAAATACACATATAATGATGTATTATAAACCTCTTCATATGTCAATATGCCAAAATTTATATCCTCTTAATAAAACAGTGAAGATCAACTTAAAACATCAAGACTCCTTGCTCTTTGGCTGCTTCTCTCATGCTGGACATTAATGCTACGCATGAATCATGAATTAATTGACAATGATGTAAGTTTTGCATGCTGAAAATGTAAAATTTATTTAACAAATACAATTATTTACAGGTAGAAATTCTTTCAAGCTATATTGCTCATAGGAGGAAAAAAATGAGGTCCACGGTGACAATGAGGTTAAGAATTATTGTTCTCCCGTGTTAGTACCTTGTGGCTATTCAAACCTAGGAGTCGGTATGCAGGGCTGCAAAGACAGATTTACTGCACGTGTCCTCTTTCTTATCTTGTCCTTGTATCCTTCCACACTGCTCAAAGCCAAGCAGAGAGGTGCTAACAGATACAAGAGATCCTCCGGGCTGAAGTGTATGTGTTAATTTGCTTGAGCTGCCAAAACCAAATACCTAGACTGCGGCTTAACATCAGAAAAGTCCTGTGTCCCAGTTCTGGAGGGCAGAACTCTGAGATGAAGTTGTCGGCAGGGTTGGTTCCTTCCGAAGCTGTGAGGGTGAATCTCTTCCATGCCTCTTTCCACGTAGAAGACTGTCTTCTCCCCACGTATCACACCATCTTCCCTCTACACATCTCTGCTTGTCCAGATTTCCCCCTTTTTATAGGGACACAAATCTTACTAGATTAGGCCCATCCTACTGACCTCACTTTAATTTGATTGCCTCTCTCCAAATAAGGTCATATTCCAAGGTGATGGGGATTAGGACTCTAACAAGAATTTTAGGAGGACACAATTCAACAATCGTCTAAACTAGAAACTATCAGTTCTCTTTGTAAGGCTCAGCTCCTAACAACATGAGTTCTCTTACCTTTCACCTGTGACAAGAACCCAAAAGCATGCCTTTCTGATCCGAATGGTGATTCTTTTTGTGCTGCATGGATTGTGGGTGGGAAGGAGCCAAAGGAGGAAGATTTTGTGGGCACACGTTGCACACCCTGAGGGAAAGCCCTCCTTCCTCCCAGGCATTGATTAACCCTCTCTGGGCCACCCATTGTCGTTGCAGGATAAGAGTCTTCAATCAATGTGTTTTTTTACTAACGATGCCCCTGCACCCTGAACTGCAAGACCCTGGAGACATTTAGGAAAAACAGCCAAAAGAAAGTAATAGACAACCCCCGACAAGTTCTGATTTGTTTACATTTCTTTGGCTTCTCTTCCTGCTTTAGCGGCATGGCGGCCCCCAGGCTCGCGCGCGCAGCACGCACGGGCCAGGTGGGACCAGGCCTGACTCTGAAGAGCGCTCCCAGCCTGGCTCTCCCCGCAGGCAGACGCTGTGCAGCTCTGCCTCTAAGTCTTCGGTTTGCAGGTGGGTTTCCGTGGCCCGGAGCGGCAGGGCAGTCGCTGCGGGAGCACTTTCAGACCCCGGGCCTTCAGCAGACAGTCCCCAGAGAGCGCCCCCGGCCGCTGCACAGCCCGGCGACAGGGGACCCGCCTCCTGATTCTGGGCGGAGGGTCACCTGGCTGTTGCCGGTGGTGGCGGTGGTGGTGTAGTATGGGAAGCCCAGTGGCCCTCCCGTTTTTTTCTGAAGAGGAATGGACTCTAACTCACCTCGCGTGGCACTAAGCTCCTGCTGAAAAACTCCCACTCCTACTCCTCGTGCCCTGTTCCCCAACCCCTGTCCTAGCTGAACAGAACCCACCCCGGGCTCCACCTCTGCCCACCCTCTCTGGGGAGCAGGGATCTACTTTGGTGCCTTGGGGGTCGCACTCTTGGTCCACCCAATACGGGCCGCGCCTCCAGTGCAGCCCCGCCCCCAAAGTCCAGCCACCGAAATGGGGCACTGCCCCCAGGCCTCCTCCCCCGCAGAGTGGCCAGGTCTCCGCTCCCTCTGGTCCCTGATCTCCCCTCTCCCGACGCCCTCCCGGGTCCCCACTTTGCAGCCCCCCGCAGCGCACCTTGCCCTGGCGGTAGTAGTAGCTGTGCTCCTTAGGATCCTGGCGTCGCGGTGGGATGTAGCCAAAGGCAGACTGTGCCGAAATGGGCGGCACCCGGGGCTTGCACCGCAGCGTGTCCGCGGTGATCTCCTCCTCGTCGTCGTCGTCGGCCATGCCGGGGCTTCACACTAGGTCCCGCTCCCTGGGTGCCCAGTCCCTGGCTGCCAGCAACTGGCTGCCCCGAGCGTGCTGGGCTGTTGCCTGGCAACCGCGGCCCCAGGAAGCCGGTTGGGCTGAGGGGCGGGGCGAAGCAGAGGCGGGATGGACCCTCTCCCCTCCCTTCCCCTACAGGCCTTAACTACTGTCCTTACTTGGTTGCGTGTCTGTGAACCAAGCCACGGCTGCTAAAGCAGCTGCGTCGGGGTCCTGGGTAAGAGAGTCCCGTGAGATCAGCACTTTCCAACCTGCCTACCTGATCCCACGCAGAATGGGTCCGTTCATTCAGACCATTGGTTGGGTAGCTGATGACCGCACACTTAACTAAGTGCGTGCCAGCCCTGGAGATGCAGCCTTGAACCTTGCAGGTCCACGTAGAACTTAGAGACTGGTATAAGTCAGGGAATAAATGTGAAAAAAGGCAAGTAAGTTGGAAAGCAGGTTTAAGTCTAGAGAGCAGTACCGCCCAAAAGAAACGCTGTGAGAGCCACACCGGTAATTGAGGACTTCCTGTTAACCACACTAAGAAGGTAAAAAAAACACGGGTAGAAGTGAATTGTAATAATATATTTATTTAACTCAAGAGGTTCAAAACATCTTTTCAACATGTGGCTCCATCCACATTTCAACTGCTAGGTGGTCACATGCGGCTTTGGCCAGAGCAGGTGTGAAGATTCCATGAATTAAATCAGCATGATTTAACAAAATCTGTCAAAAGTCGGCTGCTAAGGGTGTGAGTTCTAGCGACCCTCTGTGAATGAAGTTATTGTTGTCTCTCTATCCAAATGCTGGTTCAATAGCTCTGTTGCCTTGCTGGAATTCATTGAGCTGATGGTTATGAGGGATGGATGTATAAACAGACATGTTTATAAGTAGCAGAAGGAAAACAGCCTGTCTTGTGTAGCCAATGAATTTAAAGGGCATTAATAACTCAGGTTATGAATGATGCTCCTGCAAGCCGGGATAACCTGCCTGCACCGGTTTCTAAATCTCCTATCAGTGCTGATTGTCGGGGAGCATTATAGCACAACCCTGGCTCCTGCAAGAAGGGAACCACTGCCTGGACTCCAAACCCCTTTAACCAGGTCGTGGGCATGGGCATGGTCCATGGTGGGATTACACACACCTTTAGCTTAGCCTCCTTTCTGGCAAAAATGCGTAACTGTTGTCTAGAAAGGGATAGAGAAAGGGACCTTGTTGGTTGTCAGGTTTTTCCAGTATGCTGACTTGTTCAGTTGATGGAGTCCTTATGGTTAATTCCTTTAAGCTTCAAACTTATGAATCAAGACATATAAAGGTAATTAAATGTTGGGTTTGTTCACCTTGTTGACTTTAGAATGCAAATGAATGTAATTTTAAGTGATACCTAAAATAAAAACTCCCCAGTGCTGACAACTTTAGCAATGGGCACCACCACCCTAGACGCGCCAGGACTCCTTAGAGGGGCTGACCCAGGTTGGGGACAGGAAATGGTAAGATGAGTCTGGGACATCCTGTTCTGCCAAGACATTTTTTAAAGCGTATTTGATGGGGTCTAAAGGACAAAGGGAGACATCTGAAGGGTATCACATTTAAGCAGCAAAAAGATAGCAGTAATAGATTGAAGCATATCAAATATATAAAATTTCATGAGTTCAAAAATAGCCTAAGGAAAAAAAATTGACCAGAGCGCTGACCAACTCTTTATTCTTAAAATTAATACAAGAAAAGAAACATATATTTTGTTTTCTTCTGCATAAATATTATTTAGGGTATACAAGTAGTCGATAGAAGAAATGTCTTCTTTGAGGACGAATACAAGGTATACGCAATGGTAGAATTAGGAAATAATCTTTTACACTTAGTAGAACAATGGATCTAGGCACCAGTCATTGACACATGCTAAAACCATTGGGCGAAGGCTGCTGGGGACATCACAGTAGATGGGCCATGCTGGTAACACAGAACCCACTGATCAAACTCAATGAATGTCACTGAGAGGGGCAACCAGACGTTGTGGTATGAAAGCAAACACAGAGCACCAGCTCCAAAGCATCTTTGTCGAAACAGGTTTAAGCTGAATCTAAGCAAGCCTCTGAACCTTCCTTTTAGTTTAACAGAAGGTACTGAAGGTAGAGGAAGAAGCTGGAAGACACCAAATCAATAACGTGAAGCATTTTACAGGGCAATTGATCTAATTTCTCCAAAAGAAAAAGAAAAACCAGAAGAGGGAAGGGTGCATTTACAGACAACTAAAAAAATGATTTTTTATTTATTTTTATCATCCGCTAAGCTTTTGTGGATTCCAACTCTGTTACAATTTTCTTGAACTGGGAACTTTGTTCAGTTATCTTTCTGCCCCTCCTACCAAATCATCAATAAAATTCTGGGTTCCAACCACCCCAAAAGTATTTTTGAGAGAGCATAGGGAACTCAGGAAATGATTACAGGGGATCATTATTAATTTTGTTAGTTGAAATAATGCCAGAATAGTTAAACTGAAAAAGAAAAAAAATGTATTGGCTATGGATGCATACTGAAGTATTTAGGATAAAAGTGTATGATAGCTTAGATATTTCTACAAGCAGTCCAATAACAAAAGGAAATGAAAAGAAAAAGAAAAAGAATTAATGAAACATGATTGGAAAATTTCAGTAACTTCTCATGCCGAATAAAGGACTCACATGGATTCATTATACTATTGTTTCTCCTCTTACATGTTCGGAGTTTTCCATAATGAAAGTGAGAGTAGAGTTATTAAGAGGTTTTGTTTCTTGCAAACAACAGAACCCAAAATATCAGTTCAAGCCACAAACACTGTGCACTAAATGCCAGAAACTGTGGGAGGGGTTGGAGGATGGCTGGTTGTTCTGAGGTGGAATTGCAAGTATATAAGGCAAACTTTCTTATGATGGAGCCCAGCAGAACAACAAAAATCTAGGCACAGGACTGTTGCAGCAAGGGAGAGGGCTAGCTGAGGAACTGAGACAGCCAACTGGAAAAGGAGAAGGGTGGGTTGGGGTGAGATGGGATGAACTGGGCTGGAGAGCCCGCAGCACAGCGAGTTTGGGTGTCAAAGGGTTAATGTTAGGCCTGGCCGGGGAAGCCAACTCTGGACCCTGTGGGATGGCATACCCAAACCCCTTCTGTGAAGCTCTGCATGGAGTTGGAAACCCCGGCTCCTTCTCCGTGTGAAAATGGCCCATGTGGCTCAGATCCTGTAGGCAATAGAGGGATGTCCATTCTTATTGAGAGGATTTCTTTCTTCCGGTCTACCACACTTATTATTTTAAATATTTACACTTAATTGTTCCATTGCCCTCAGGTGTAATGAGTCTATGCTACTGTAATCATATAAGTATCTAATAATGAGACTGAGAAATTTGGCTCTAGGATTTCAAGGTTTCTCAGCACAATGCCCTTGATGCTAACAAAGCAGTTCCCACAGGTTTATGTGGAACCCCCAGGAGTTGTAACCAGCAAGTCAGCTGTGTTCCTCCTTACATGGCATGCCTGACATGCACACACACCACGAGTTGTAAAGATGTTTAGTTGAGAATGCAACCCAACATATGTGCCAATAATAGCCCGCAAGGCTTTCTGAGCATTTACTGTTTCCGAGGTCCTGGCCAACCGTGTACAAGGCGTGTCTCATCCACTCCCCTACATGAAAGCGTTCGGGCTCTGAATGGGCCCACGTATGTTGCCAGCTTGGGGAGAACTCAGCGTTCAGAGGCTTCACCACCCCTGACCCAGTACCCCTTCCCTGAGACTTGTACACGGTCTTCCAGTGGGTGTAGCTTTTAGGAGGGAACAGTTTTCTTATTTTCCCAGAAGTCTGTCAAATGTACTGAATTCTGCCCCTTCCTGTTTTCTTTCATCTGACAGATGTTTACCTAGTCTCCACATGCACCCAGATTCGGAAGGCAGGGTCCTGGTCAAGGAACGCCCACTCCAGCAGCACCTCTTCATCCCACCTTTGATCTCTCCTGACCAGGCCTGGTTCAGCTCCTGCTCCTCCTGTCTCTCCCTCCCTCCCTCTTCCTCCCTCCCTCCCTCCCTCCCTCTTCCTCCCTCCTTCCCTCCCTCTCTCCCTCCCTCCCTCCCTCCCTCCTTCCTTCCCTCCCTCTCTCCCCCCCCCCCCCTCTCTCTCTCTCTCTCTCTCTCTCTCTCTCTCACACACACACACTACTCACTTCCTAATCTTTGCTGCCCCTTAGTGGCAGGCCTGAAGAATATATATCGCAGTACTTCAGGGGTTATGCTTGCAAGTAAAAATGTTTTCACTAATTTTTTTTCTCTTCTTTACTTTTCTTTGCTTTCACTTTTGAAACAAAATACAGCAAGATTACACCTGATTTGAAAACATTAATATATGTTATCATAAGCTATCAGCATATGTAGTTCAACAAGCACCATTACATCACCTTTGCTTGCACAGGTAGACATTAAAGTGGAACAACCTGAGACTGAGTTTATAAGGACTTGACTTTACAGGAGCCCTTGGTAAGTTCACTCCAATGTGAGAAGTCAGCAATCCTATTAGCCTGAATTATTATTTATAATATATACATGCACATCTTCAGGATTGGTGCTGGCCAGGTCTCGCCTCCTTTCCTGGGACTCCCCCGAGTGCTCTACGCTGGGCGCTCTGGCCTTCAATAACTGAAATGCTCTCCCACCACACAGACCCTCCTTTCTCCTCCTAAAATGCAGCTCACAAGTCACCTCCAGAAGCCTTGCACACTCCCCAGGCAGGCCTGGTCTGCTGCATTCCCAGAGTCTCCCTCACGCTTCATGAGCTGGCGCTTCATGAGCTGGCTCATCTCGGCCGTCATCTGCCTGACTCCTAACCCCTCGGGGCAGGGGCTCTTGTCCGCTTCCCTCTGGAGCTCTGCCCTTTGTTGGGTACCCAGCATCATCATCGGAGCTCCTCAGTGAACATTTGTTGAATGGAGAAGTGGGTAGGGGAGAGCCAAGTGGGGCAAATGATCAACAGAGGATGTAACCAGAAGTGCAGAGGGAGGAGTCTGATTCCAACTAGAGCAACAGAAAAAAAGGTCGTGATGGATGGATGAGAGGGAGCTGGAAAAATTGAAAAGGTGGCAGAGGAACATTAGGCTGTGCCTTTCCCTATCATTTATATAATTTATAAGACTGTCGTTACTTCTGTGTGGCTATTTGGTTAAGGCTCTCTCCTCTCTGTAAACGGTAAATGTTTACTTCGAAGTTCAGGGGCATGTTATGCCCAAGGATGAGCTGATAGGAGAGGCACAGTGCACTAAGGTTGGCCTAGAGGCTGTCGAGGGAATGGCCAGGTCACTTGGGCACAGGGACACATCAAAATCCACAGCACCTCTGTCCCCTTCAGTCTCCATCTGCTCCCATGTCTCCTCTGTCACCAGAGCATAAACTGCAAAGAATGATCTTAGAACTCATCTAGTCTCCATCTGCTGTTCTAAAGACAAGTGACTCAAAAAGGTTAAGTATAATGGCATGATGGGGTGAAAATTCAGACCAACTAGTACTAGCTAACATAGCCTGTGCTTATTCTGTGCTAGATAGCTTTCTAATGGTTTTATAATTATTAACTGACTTAATTTTCATTTCAGTCTGTTACAGGTTGAATTGTGTCCCCTTCCCAAAAAAAAGCTATATTGAAGTCTTAACCTCTAGTACCTGTGAATGGGACCTTTTTGGACATAGGGTCTTTGCAGATTTAATCAAGGGAAGATGAGGTCGTTAGGGTGGATTCTAATCCCACGTGGCTGGTAAAGACAGGTACACACACACACACACACAAAGGGAAGATGGCCATGTGAACATGGAGGCCGTTGGAGTGATGCGGCCACAAACCAGGGAATGCCTAGGGCCCCCAAACCAGGAAGAGGCAAGGAAGGACCCTCTTCTACAGCCTTCGGAGGGCACACAGCCTTATAGACACCTTGATCATAGACTTCTACTCCCCAGAACTTGGGAGAAAATAAATTTGTGTTGTTAGGCCGCCCAGCTTGTGGCATTTTTTTGCTGGCTGTCCCTGGAAACTATTTACAACTCCCTTATTATTTGAGTACCCCGAGGAAACAGGCCCCCAGGCCCCTCGGCAAGTGGGGAAGCTGGAACTCAAATCAGACTCCATTCTCAGCCACTGAAGTCTGTTGCATCTTCAGAGCAGCTTTACGATGCATGCACCACTTGTGAGGCATGAAATGCTAGGCAGGACTTGCCTCCTCTCTAAGCTGAGGCAACACTTCAGTCAGAAGTCCCCGAAGTCCCCGAGACACACAAGAGTGAGGCTCAAGTGCTCAGCACAGGAGCAGAGAACAGCTCTCTCCTTGCTCAAGGCCGCAGAACTAGCTGCTGGAAGAATTCCACTGCCCAAATCCAGAACTCTTGAGGCCCGCCTCCTCCCCCAAAACCTACATGACCCTAATGTGTTTTTTCATGTCGTTATGTACCTTTACTAAAAAAGTTCCCATGTTTTCTTATTAACTGAACGGTTATTGCTACATTATTCTATAGTTATATTGATATCCAAAGGACTCTAGTCTGTTTTTCTCACTCCTCCTCCTTACCATATTTTACTTTCTCAAAAAAATATAACAGGATACAGGAGATAAAATTTCTTCCTTGTATTTGTGAGAAGAGGAAACAAAGGTCTCTAAAGAGCATAATTTCAGTTGGCAGGTAACTATTAAAAGAAAAAGATTTAAAAATACAGCTTACTCATTACACATTTTTATTATACTTGATTAGCTGTTTATTGTATAAAAGTATATATGATACTATTATTAAATAAAAATAAAAATTTATTTTAAATTCATCGTCAATAATTGCAAACATGGTATAAGGAAAACTGCAGACCCTTCCCAGGTCCCAGGTCCATAAAAAGCAGCTGCTTCACAGGTCACATCTTCTTCTTATACTGAGTCACATGAAAACACAAGCGCTTTCACAGCGTGAGTTCTGAAGGCCGTGTTCCTTCTTGTTACCAACGAACATCAGGGGTTTGGGGAAACAGTTTCCTTTGTAAATATTCCACCAATTCAAATCTCGATTTTAGAGTTTCAATCTCGTAATAGGGTATCTGCAAAAGGAGGAACATAAAATTCATCAGAATCTCCTTCAGAGATTTCATCATACTCCTTCAGGATCTGAAATCTCCCTGGTGTTTTGGTCCCCCGTCTCTCCCGCCCTCCCCCACGGCAGAATGGAAGCTCCCAGAGGGCACGGATCACAGGAGCTTACTCATCCTGTAGCCCAGCACCTACAACAGCACCCGGTACAGCACAAGGGGCTCGGTAAGTACAAAGTAGAGCATGAGAAGAAAACTGGGGCTCTGGTATTGTCGGATGAGAGTTAAAGGTGAACTTGACCTGGGAGATGATGGATGACCACAATCAGATACTCAAAGTGGCAGAGACCAAACAGGTGGTGGGAGCAGCTGGACTAAGGGAGAAGGGCCAGAGAGAATGGTCAGGGAGAAAGGGAAGCAACTACTGAGCTCAGAGCAGAGCACCTGGTGGCCAGTGCATCATGGAGGGCCTGGAATGTTGAGACGTCCATGAGCTTTGACTCTATCCTATAAGCAATAAACAGTGAGGGCTTCTGAACACACTGGCACAATTACTTTTAGGAAAACTAATCTGGCAATGAACAAAATGGAGTGGAAAAAAGTAAGCAGGTGGAAAAGCAGAGGGCAGACTGGTGGACAGCTCAGAGAACTGGGGAGACTCCATGTCTACTCCCTGTGGCTCCCCCACATGAGACCTTCATAGAGCGACTAGTGATGTAGAAACATGTAAGGCCCTAAACATTAACTGGTGACACAGACACTGGTTTCAATGTGCCATCCTGCCCATTTTCATGCATTAAATCAAGGGGATCTTGAAGTAGATATGCCAATAACTTTGTAATTGAACACCCAATAAAATATACAGATGATATCCTATAGAATTATACATTTGAAACCTATATAATTTTATTAACTGATGTCACCCCAATAAATTCAGTGAAAATTTAAAAAGTGCTCTTGATCTTTAAAAAATAATAAATAAAATAAAAGAGATTTAAGCCTAACTAAGTTGGCACTTAAATTAGATGTAAGATTCTTGGTCCTTTGGGCTGGCAGGCCACTTAGTAACCTGGCAGAAGCAAATCTGAGTAAGAGATTGCTTTTGGGAAAAAAATTAGATGAAGGCATACCTGAACAACTTGATAACCAAGTAAGCGCAGGTGTCTCTGTTTAATAGCTTCCTTCCCCAGTAAGTGTCTGCTATTCAAGCAGAATCTTTTTGGACCATCAATACACAGCGCTATTCTGAAAAAAAGATCAAAGAGAAAGAAAGTCAATTTTTAAGACAACCCAAAATATTTATATATTTTTAATTACCAGAGTTCATTGGGATTTGCTTATTCCTTTTTGCCAGTGCTATTTTCAAGTGAATAATGAATGCGTTATCCCCTAATCTGTGGAGAAAGCATTCACTTTTTGTTAATATTGAGGTTCATAAAATGTAACAAATAATTTCCAAAACTGATATGCTGCAAAGTAGCATTTTAATTTCCAGAGTGTTTATTTTTTCTTCACCCTCTTAAGAAAACAATCATTGTATATTTATCTCAACAAGTCTTGAAACATCAACCACAACAGTTTTCTTTACCTTTTATGTACGTCTTCATCAAATGTAAATGGTAATACAAATCCTTCTTCATCTAATTTAATTTCAACATCTGGTAAGAGAAGAAAGGAAAAACTCTTCGTGTGATAACCCCACAAACACTATCTTCCTTTCCTCCTCGTTCTGTTTTGAATTCTTCCACACTGCATTTACCAACTGGCTGAGGCTGCAAAGTAATGACCACACCAGACAATGGTGAGAATCCCAATTTAATCAGACCTATGATCAACCAAGTCAGCCTTAAACTGAGAAGGCTCAACCACACAAAAACAAAAAGTGGGTTCTCAGATTATATGACGTATAACAAGAACCATGCACACAACCGAATCCTTCCATCCAGTGAAGAAAATCCTCAAGTTAAGCAAAGTTAGACACCTATGCACATTGAACCTCTGGTCACCAGAGCTCCCAAAGCCACCAGGGTAAGTAAAGCTTCCTGTACCCCAACATGTTGTCCTGGAGCATGGACAGACCCCTTCTTTCCCTCTGATGTCAGCCATCCCTTTTGCAAAAGGAGCCCATAAAAGGGCAGTGGGATGTGACCACCTGGAGCCTGGAAAACACTGTCCTCTTTCAACTGGTTTTCTTTTACTCATAAACTTGCAAAATGACGAGGGCAGGAGGACATAAGCCCTCTCGGCAGCACTGTCCAGAACTGCCATGATAACGGACACGTTTGTACCTCTGCTGTCCAATGTGGGAGCCACGAGCCACATGTGGCTATCGAACACTGGGAAACATGGCTAACATGACTCAGGAACTGAACTCTGAATGTTTTTAAATTTTAATTATTTTAAATGTAAATAGCCGTGTGTACTAGAGTACTAGGCACTGGCCTAGAGTAAAACAGCAGCTAACAACTACTAAGCACTTACTGTCCTCCAGGTATTAGTCCACATTATTTCATATGCCCTTAAGTCTTTGAGGTCACTTTCCTTCATTTTACTGAAAGAAGCGAGCAGAAAAGGTTAAAAACTCTACCCCAAATCATTCTGCTACTACATGGCTAACACATGGGGACTCAACCCTAGACAATCTGGACCCTAAGCCCTACTGCATGCCCTTGTTCCATTCACCTTTAGGGAAGGGCCAAGTCCATCTCGTATTTCCAAACCTTTTATGGCCATTAAGTCCCAAATATTCCACATGAGAACACGGGATGAGGTTTAGTAAACTACAATGAAATTCCCTGTTACTCACCTATTGTGTAATAGTAGGGTGTTAATACTTTTGAAGCAAAGTACAGTCTTGCTCCTAAAAGGTCAATTAGTCCAATCATCACAGATTTATAGAGCTGAAAATCCACAGGTGTCTCCAGGGAACAGCACGGAGTAAGAAATGATTTCACTTGATATTTAAGAAGACGTCTTGGACCCTACAAAATGTATGTGCAAATATGAGAAAAAAATACAAAACTAACCAGATAATAAAATGCACACTGCATGAGTATAAAAGTCTGATCAAATTACTTCACAGGCATGAATACTTTTCTAGGATTCAGGGCAAACATTTTTCTCAAAACATTCTTGTTAACAGTTCAAGTGCAATAGTTCTAAATATTTTAAAAATATATTTTAAAAGTAGTTACTGATCACATCACAGAGAGAAGGGCAAGGAGGGAGGGAGGACAGGTGGGTGCTAATCATGTTATGACAGCTCAAGAAACATCTTTGGGCCTTTGGAATTCTCAGAATTGTTTCAAGGGCCTTAAGAACACTCAGCTGAAGTTTTACACTGAAGCGTGTGAAAATGGTGACATTTCAATTCAGTAAGAAAGGACAGCTGTGCAGTAAGTGGTGCTAGCATTTACTTATCCACCTGGAAAACAGCTGGGTTAAAGCTCTACCACACAACACAGATGGTCAATTCCAGGTGGATTAAAGACCTAAATATGTTGAGGAAAACAGTATTTTAAAGATTTAGTAAAACATTTATATTAGCTCAGGAGCAGTAAAATAGTCTTAAGCAAAATAGGAAACCTAAAAGCCATATTTACCTAAAGAAAACTTAAATATTTCTTTAGAGCAATGAGACATCGTAAAAATTAAACCAAAAAGATAAGAAACTACCAGAGGAGAACATATGCAACACGCATAATAGCGAAAATCTCTGTTTTCCAGTGAGTTGTGTGTGTGTGGGGGGGAACCAACCCACCCTGGCTGGTGTGGTTCAATGAACTGACTGCTAGCCTGTGAACCAAAGGGTTGCAGGTTCGATTCCCAGTCAAGGCACATGCCTGGGTTATGGGCCAGGTCCCCAGTTTAGGATTGTAAGAGGCAACCACACATTGATGTTTCTTTCCCTCCCTCTAAAAATGAATGAATAAAATCTTTAAAACAACAAACAAAAAACCCCAACCCAAAAGAAATGTTAGGGGGTAAAAACACAATCCATGGCAAATGTAAATAACAGAGAAACATTTGAAAAGAAGCTCAACTTCATCATTACTCATTAAAATACAACTTAAAGATGTAAACCCTTTTTCAGAGATGAATGAAACATTAAAGGGACCAGGTCAGGCTGCAATGAAGTGGGGAAGACGTGACCATCTCCACTCATCGCTGGGGAAATGAGGGGTCCACAACTACCGGGGAAAAGAGTCTGTTGGTATTTACTGAAAATTAGTCCAGTAATTCCACCTTTAGCAATCTAGTCTCGACTAAAAAAAGCACAAAGGCTCCAGTATGAAAGGATATAGAAGGATATTTACTATTGCATTGTTGACAGTGATGAACACTGGAAAAAACCTGAAAGTCCAGCAATGGTGGATTGGTAGGACAAATACCATGAATTATGGTGCCATTCTTAAAAAGAACACATTTTAGCTTTATATATTGCCCTGAGGAATGTCCATGATGTACTGCCATAAAAGCAAATTGTACTTTGTCCCATTCCATGAAAAGAGACAAAGTAGACAGCATTTACGTATTTCTATACATTTGGATGTAAAAATTGCTCTTAACACTGTTCTCCTTTAGGGATAGAAGGAGGTTACTGGTAACTATTATTTTTATTCTCGGTACTAATAATGGTATCTTTCTATTCTTTTACTTTATACCCAAATGAGCTACGCTTAAATGTGGCTCAACAAGTACAAAGGGCCAGGCAGGCCCTGAAGATGCTGCTTCTGATTTGAAACCAAGTTCAGAATAACACTATGTGAATGAACCAAACTCAACCTCACTGAGTTCCATCAGATGAGAGCCATGGTGTCAAAATCATGGTACTCGGGATGATCTAGGATGTGCTCAGTCCAGAATCACACTGTCATACCCAACAGCTATGGGGCTAACACCCTCAGCCTGACTCTCCAGGAGCTGGAGAGTCAAACCCTGCAGCACTTGCTAAAACCTTCCAAGAAATCTTACACAGCAGGAAATGGATCCTTTAAGGACAAGAAAACAGGAACCGGGTCAATTTATCAAAGAAATGGCTATCTGGTAGCCACTAACTCCACGTTAATGAAAAGTTCTGCTTTTTAGCAAGGTTAAGGCAGATTAAAAGAGAAACGGAAAAAAATGTCAGGATATTGAGGGGAGGGAATACTATACAAGAAAACTGCCCTCACAGAGAAATAAAGCAACACAGCTCATGTTTTACCTTATAGAAAGGGCACTCTAGGAGCGAGGTTAACATAAGCTGGGTCAGTTGTGCTAGGCTCAGTCTGTCCAAGTGAGATTCCTCACCTGCAACAAAAAGCATGCTGGTCGTAGTTAAATTTGCATTTTGATATATGCAATGAGAGACGAGAACATGAAGAATATACAACATTCATTTACTCACACCACTAAGGCACTCTTAAATGACACTATGAAAAGAACGTGTTAGAATTAATCATGCCTTCTTGCTTGCCATCAGTGTAATCTCCTTTTGACTTTCAAGAACTGAAGCTCCTAACTACAGAATATATAATGAAAAGGGACAAAATATGCTAGCTGGATTAGTGGGACCTTCTTAGAAATGCATATTTTCCACATACTTGATGGCCTTCAATTAAGATGAATATCATTCTCTTAAAAAATAAAAAACAAGAGTTCTGCAACTGCTTTCACAAAGACTGCAACTTGTTGCTGTGACTGTGACCATTGCCATCACCACAGCCCCCCAAGAACAGTTTCTCAGCAGGAATAGCAGTCTGTCTACCTGAAACTGTTTTCTCACTCAATGTAGTCTTCTAGCTTTTTTTTTTTGTATTCACATACCAGATACTATTTTAATGCTGCTACACAGAAGGGACACTGATTTTCTTTTATGAACAACAGGTGAATGTCTCCTGAGTGTTGGCTACTGGGAGAAGGATAAACATTCTAGATTTCATCTATTCGCTCACTCATTTACAAACAAGCTATCCTCCAAACGACCCCCTCATTCTTCCTTGTTATACCATTCTTTAACTCTGCATTTACACTACCAACTGTAACTTCAGATGTCTCCTTTAGCTTATTATAGAAAAAAAAATAAATGTGAAGCACTACTCAATGTAAAAGGTACACAGGTGACTTGAAAACATCACAAGTTCAAAGGCTAATTTTTCCATTTTCTGAAGTTATAACTAACTCACCTTGTAGCTGTTGAAGAAAATAAGGGCTGAATATTTTTGCCATAAAGTTGACTGGATGGCATTCAATAAGTGAACATGAATGGAGAAGTTTCAAGAGTGTTTTGGGAGGAAAAGAACTGAAATGAGTGAATAATATATCTTCTAGCTTTCTAAATAAAGCAGAGGCATTTGGTGGCAAATAATTGAGTTTTCCAAATGGTTCAATCAACTCAGAAATCTGACTAGGTGAAAATTTTTCTGAATGGCAAACAAAAGCTTCCGCCACCACATCCATGATAGGTTTTGAAAGGATCTGTTTTCTACTGCAGTACCCCATGACTTTGCTGACAACCTCAGGGTCCAAAGTGAGACACAGTGACACTACATGCTGCTCCAGGGCTTTTATAAAAAATCTGTCATGGTGCCCAAAGTATATGAAAGCATCCAAGACTTTCCCGAGTTCTTCATTGGTGAAATTAGGGATATGCCTTACAGCGTATTTACCCAATTTTATAACCAGAGGAAGTGCCTGAGTTTGATCGAGAACCACTAGGGCAGTGAGCATTTGGCTTATCAATTCAGGACTCAGGTTGGAAACTATCGACAGAGAAAAGCTGTTTATCTTATTTAGAAATGTCTGGTGTTGGTCCACTTTTTCAGTACACATCTGCAGTATTCTATAAAGGGCCACAATATCCTCGGGGGTAAATTCTTCCAGCTTTTCACCTTGCAGTTGTTGTATAATCAGGTCTAGTGTCTTACAACCTGGATCTTGTAGTTTAAGCAGACTTTCGGCAAGAACACAGAGACTGTGGACTTCCAGGCTACCCCTTCCGAGACGACGTTGGCATTCTGCTACCAGATTCTGTAACAAGCTACTTTGGGGATCCACAGGCAACAGAGCAAGGGCTTGCAAAGCAGTCACCAAACCAGTGTTGGACAGATTTGAGGGCTCCTGTTCAAACTGAACACATAAAGCTTGAAAGACGGGATTCTCCAATATTTCCTTTGGCAGCCTCTGATCACCCTCTTTTTTCCCCACTTCACAAATCCTTTGTAAGGCTCCTGCTGCCAGAGTATCAGGCAAAGATTGCAGCGTGCTTATGAAACTTAGCAATTCTTCCAATGTAGTGAAGTTGTTCAGTCTCCTGTAAAATATCTGTTCGTCCGCCATTTTGAGATTTTGTTCAAAACTGTCCCAATCGTGTACTTGAGAGAACACTGGCTCACCAACTGAATGAAGGTCATTTCCATTTTCCGAATGGAACTGTTTACAATAGGCATGATGGAACCTGACCCTGAAAAGCCCAGGCTGTAGTGAGCAGAACCATGGGCACAGATGCTCCTTGACTACCTTGTGAACATGATTTACAGGTTGAGTTTTCAGAGCAGCCAGAGCTCCATGTATCCTAAAATCAGATAAATGACACAGGTTCCTCCGCAAGGTAATTAAAGCCATGCCATCGGATTCTCAACTCTTGATTTAGAACTAAATATAGGAATAAAAAACATGGTCAAATATATTGAGAACATGACTCATTCAACAACATCAATACTTATGAAACTAAGGTTAAATACTCAAAATAAGTGATTAATAAACATTTCCCACTGAACTATAAGTACCAAAATGGGCAGAGCCCATCCTAAAGCTTAGAATAGTGGCTGGCACCTAACAATAACAGTCGCTATCATTTGCCAGGCACTGTTGTGCTGTATGTGTACTAAATCAATGCTCCTAGCAGCCCAACGAACAAAACACTTTCATCATCATTTCACAGGTGAGGACACAAAGCACAAATAAGTGATTTCATCCAGTTTACACAGCTAATTGAGTGGCAGAATTGGGATTCAAAGACAGGCCAACTTGTGTTCTGTAGGTTGGTTTGTGTGTAGGCTGTAAGATGGAAGGGACTGCATTTAGTTAAACGTGTTTTCCCCAGAGGCTGGGAACCCCCGAATGAGGAAGGCCCACCACAGTTAAGTTTTGGAGAAGTCAAAAGTTATACCGGATATTCCACGAGGGGCAAGAGGGGAGGAGGTGTCAGTGCCCCCAATGCTCTCGTTGTTCAAAGATTAAACTGTATTCAAAAAGGAAACGGGTCAAGTCGCCAAAATTTCCATAGGTCAACGTAAAGCAAGGATTTTTTTTTTTTAAGTGTGTAAAAACCCTAGAGGTTTTGGCTTCCCCTAGAGGCTGTGACTGAGGAAGAAAAGGGTCTAGCTTTGCAAAAGTCGGAGAAAATAAATGAATAAAAAAATTAACACAATGCAGGCCAATAAGGGGGTAAGGTGGAGAGATTGTCCAGACCCAAACACCCGGCTGTGAGATTTAGGAAAAATACGCGTGCAAGACAGAGGGGCGGAGGTCGCGCGTCCTTCTTAGAATGAAAGCACCCCAGGGGCCTGAGGCTCCCCAAACCGGGACCACAGACCTGCGCTCAAGCACCCGGCGGGTGCGGCGGCCTAAAAAGAGGTGTGCAGGCCAGGGCAGTACTGGCGCTTTAGCGACCCTACGAGCCCAAAAGCCCAAGCTTTGAGCCCAACCGGCCACCTACCCGAGCTCTGCCCGCCAATGTTCCAAGGGAATCCTGGAGGAACCAGGACCTCGTGAGCCTCCGTACGCACTGCTGCTGTGAAGCCGAGCAACAAGGCGCATGCGCCGGAGGCCACGCCTTTGTCAGGCGCGCTGTGATTGGCCCAGCTTCGCTGCGAACTTTCTACGTAAGCGCAGGCGCTGGTGTGAAACCAGCACGTCTAGAGCACGTCTCTAATCGGGCGTCCTCTCCTGAGTTCCCGCGGGTGAGTGTTTGGTAGCAGTTACACTCCTTTTTGGGTCGCTTGCTCGTCGCCCGGCGGAGGGGCGGTGGCTCCAGGTCGGCCAGAGCACAGACCTCTGCGCCCTGGCGTTCCTACCCCGGTGCGTGCGCTGGGGCATCAGAGCCCGGTGGCGCTGAGCTGCGGGCCAAAGATGGGCTCTCGGGATCGCTGGCCCGGCGTTTGCAGGAGAGCAGCTTGTTCCGTGGGTATTCTTTGTTCTGAAACTTTTTCTAGTCGGCGGTAAAGGGCACAGTGGGGGTGAGGGGACCCAGGGACCCGGGGTGGGTGTTCGGAACTGGCGCTGGAGACTCAGGAATGTTCGGGACACGGACCTGGTAGATGGGTTTTCCTAGTCCACCGCGTTTCTGCCTGACTTTTCTCTGCGGGTGCCGGGGAACCACCTCTGAAAAACGTGGGGTGCATTACCTGCTTTATAAGGTAGTTACAGGACGAAGAGGTTCGGTTTGTTCTCTGAAGTGCCTGTACCTATACTAGGCTCTTAAAGTATTCCAGATGGTTAGCTATAATCATAATAATTGGTGACATTTCTGCCATTACACTTTCAGAGTTCTCAGTGGGCCCTAAATGTGTACACTACACACTTTATACATACTCCTTTACACGTTCCTGTATTCTGTTAATTTGTTGACCACACAGTATGCCAGGCGCTGTTCCGTGCCCTAAGCAGATTCCATGATTGTCAACATGTTCTCTAACAGGATACGTTTATTTTTTTAAATCTCTTTGTTGCTTAATTTTCCCTAAGATGTAACTAGCCAGAGGATCATAAAAATATTGGTGGTTCACATGCCAAAGCTAAGCATTTGATTTGGATTTCAGTTTGCATTTTTCCCTGATTACTGACAGTCCCTCAGGTATAGACACTGAATGAGTATGAGAAGTCTGTCAGTGTCCTTTATTTTATTACTGGTTTCTCTTCAGGAAAACATGTGTACTAGTAAAGTGATTGAGTGGATTAGAGATATTTACTTCCCATCTATATATAATAAATATATGTACACTGCATTTACATATAGTGGGTCAAATAGTAAAAAGTGCTTGATAAAGTTTATTTAGCATTAGAATCAAGTACTAACCATGACTCCTACAACTGTAATGGAATTTTTACTTTTTCCTTTTTTTGAAAGATCAAACCAAAAGGTATCTAAGATTTACTGAGCACTGCTGTGTCTCAGCCAACACTCAGGTGCTTTACTTCTGCCAGTCTGACAGTACTGTGATTATCCCACTAAGGGTGAGGGAGCAGAGGCACAGGTCTTTGGGAGGCTTGCCTATGCTTCTGTGGTTGTGAGTGAGCCACCCTGGATTGAAGCCCAGGTAGTCTGACCCCAGAACGGTTTTTGAATCATGGAATTCGAGTTTCATTTCACCTCCTGGATTGATAATTCTCTTTTTATGACTCCTTGGGAATTAATGCTGGCAATCAAATTCAGGGAAATGTATTTCATATTTTGTGTGGATAGTGTTAGAGTCTTTTGTTTTAAGAATATGAGGTAGAATCAATACCTGCAGGTTGTTACTGCTTCATGAGAAAGAAAACCCCTTTTTCCCTTGTTCATCTTTCAGTGTAACAGGCATATGCTTGGAGGCGATGAGAAGGTTCTTGTTACTCTATGCCACACAGCAAGGACAGGCAAAGGCCATAGCAGAAGACATATTGGAAAAGGCTGTTGCACATGGATTTTCTGCAGACCTTCACTGTATTAGTGAATCAGATGAGGTACTAGCTGTTACTGCTGTGGTTTTTACTGTTTTATGCTTTGAAGATATTTTGTTTGGGAGTGATGTTAAACAACAAAGTAGGGCTTTAAATGCCACCATAATCCTTTTTTTAATACTCAGAAATTTATTTTATAAAGTGTTTTAAGATTCCTGCCAGCTCTTCTTTTTTAACATTTAAGTATCCATTTGAATTAGACTGAACTGTCTTAAAAACTTAAACAAGTAATTACTCCACCCACATGAAAGTAGTAGTCATTGCCTTGTTTATCTCACCCGGTGGCTGTGAGAGCACATGAGATGTGTGTGTTTGCACACATATATGTGTTTTCCACTTTAGAACCCCAACACCCCATTTGTGTTTCTCCAAAATGAAAACATTGCCATTTATGTCAAAGTTCCTCCCAGTGAAGGGGCACTTACTTCTTTTACGAAATAGAATTTAAAGTAGAAGCGTAAGGATCTGGAGAAGACTGAGTTTCTTTAGATCCCGGACTGCTTGCTTGTGCATTCAGTCTCTACAGACGTCTGTACGTTAGGATAAATAAGATCATAACAGATTTGTGTTCTTCTTACAGTTCTGTAGAGACCGCCAGATTTTACTCTTTTATATAAATCAGGTTGTAGCAGGGTCTTTCATTCAGGCGCAAGCTGAGGTCCCATCAGCAAGCAGTCGGATTCAGTTCAGTACTTCAAAAACTACCCTGCTAGTACTCTGGCACTCAAGTTCACAACCCCCTCTGGGCTTTCCCCACATCTTTAGTTCAAAAGACTAGACTGTCGGCAGCACATTTGAGTTATAAACTCAGCTCCTATGAGAAGCAGCTAGTTCCTTTATACACCAGGGCCGAGGGCGTCACCCAATAAGCAGAGTCCTGATGGACACCACCAGGTGTCAGGTTCTGTAATTCTGTAGTAACTTCAAAGAAACTTGTGGGTACCACATGATGAAGTACAACCTCAATCTGTTACCAAAACAGGGTTATCATACAGCTAACCCCGATTTTGCCCCTTGGGTCACCTTGCCACTCTCAGGTCAGTAGCGATTTCAAAGTTAGGTGAATAGTTTATGTTTTTTAATACCATGTTAGTAACATTGTTTGCTTTCTCCAGCTGGATGGTTTCTCCAGTTCTTGATCCAGTTTTAAAGAGAGGGCTCTCTACTTCCTACATCATGAAGTCATTTTTAAGGTGTAGTTACTTTAACAAACCTCACAGAGGTTCGTTTGTTCACAACTTGTGAAGTGCCCCATAAGCATGAAATCTCCTGGTAAAATGTTAACTTGAATCCTTATTTATTACTTCAGCATGAGCCAAACTAGATGATACTGGAGCACTAGAGCTCATGGAATCGTAAATAGAAACAGTGAAGTACTCTATTCGAAATATTTAAATTTCGGTGGAAATTAGATTGAAGAAGCTTGATTTTAAGACTTGGAAATGCTGAGGATCTCCATTTATCACTCCTGATGTTCTCAGCTCAGTGGACCCCGGAGGGAGTGAGAGCCAACTTCCCCGAGAGCTGAGGAGTAAGTTTACCTTCCCAAGTTGAAAATGCTCCGTTGCCCCCCTGCCCATGTGCCGCACGCAGTGCTAGTGACTGGTTCAAGGCAGGAGACTCAGCTGTTACGTGAAGTCTAAACGTCCCATAGCAGTGGATCCCTGACGTGGCATTCCTGTTTTGTAGTATGATCTAAAAACTGAAACGGCGCCTCTTGTCATGGTCGTTTCTACCACCGGCGATGGAGACCCACCTGACACTGCCCGCAGGTTCGTGAAAGACATACAGGACACGACGCTGCCGGTTGATTTCTTTGCACACCTGCGGTACGGGTTATTAGGTATGTACTATGTATTCTTCTCTTACTGTGCTGTTATTACTAGCTTTAATTGTGGTATCTGAATGTATCTTTTAAAACCATAGTATATAATGGGGGGAAGTAGGTTTACAGTTGCGCCTATGGAAACAATACAATAATTAATAAATAATTCAAGAATGAACTCTGTTTCACATACAACTGTAAACCTACTTTTGCCCCACTCTGCACATAATTGTATGGGCTTTGTCCTTTTTGGGTTTTTTTATACAAACGTGTGATAGTTCATTGAAAATGTGCTTTGTTCCGTGAAGGCTCCAGCACAGCACCACCAGTGCAGAGCCCCTCGAGTAGCATTCTACCCACAGGTGTGCGTCCGATTCAACCGCGACCCATTTTCAGACTGGGAGCGGCTGGCCCCACCGCAAACTGCCAACCCAGAATTCCTGAGGGAGCAGCCCTGCATGCTGTACTGTTTTTAAAAAAATCTCCCAGTTGGATCTGATATCCTCCCTAAGACCCACTTCTCTAGGTGGTGGTTTTCTACTTGTAATATCATTTTATTGGTATAAATTATACATATGAATAAAATACCTTCAGCTAGTCCTGTAAGTGAATATTTGTGAAATGTCTTAAAAAGAGTAGCATTTTGATTTTTTACAGCTGTCAAAGTGTATACTCTCTAAAAATCAGATGTTAAAAGATAATACACAGATGAAAATTAAATAAAAAAACAAATATCCATAAATCCTCATTCCAGTCGATGACATACATTAATCTGGGCACAGGGGGAGAAGCAGCCTCGGTGTCTCTGTCCTCACGGTGTGTGTTGATGGGATTGCCAAGGTCGCCGACTGTTGGAATGCACATCCTGCATCAGGAATGAAGACGTTCCCCAGGAGAGTGTAGAAACCATACCCAAGGCCTACAGTATAATTTATACAAACAGTTTATTAGTTTGCTCTGTTATTATAATTATGATGTGCAGTTGCATACATGGAGAGTAAGTTGCTGTATTGAGTCAAGTGCAGATTAGACACAGGTACATGCAGTAGGACCCCACCGTGACCTGGACGGTGTCCTTGTGTTAGCGAGTGTTCAGTCATCTTGTACACTTCCTAACACTTATCCTGCAGTGCTGACAACAGCTGCTTCAGAGAAATTCCGGTAGGGCCCATGAGGTACTTGCTGGCATTTGTTGAAGGCATTTGTAGGAATGCTCAGAAATTAAGCACAGAGGGCTAGGAGGAGCCCAAAGTAATGTGCTTTGAGTATCAAGAAATGGATCTGTTTCTGTTTAAAACAAGAATTGCTGCTGGAAAGAGGAGGCACTGCCCTGGGTTTCCGCTCCGACAGCCGACCCAGCACCCTGCACAGGGACCTCTGTGTGGGTGGTGGCTTTCAGTCCTGGCCTCCCATTGGGATCCACTGGAGGAGTTTTCGTTGAATTCCATTACCTGGGTCTCCCTCCAGCCATTTTGATTTAATTGTTCTGATGTAGGATTCTGGTATCAGCATGTTGAAAAGCTCCCAGGTTAAGTAAAACTAGTCTTCTACGAAATGTAGATTAAAGTACTAAGGTAAAGGATCAGATGGACAAATTTAGCAAGATACGACTCCAGGCAGGGAATTCAGGGTCATTTTCCTGGCTTGTGATCTGTACTCTTTATCTTCGAGAGTGATTCCGGTGGGAGAGTATCCAGCAAGTTTGGATTGTATCCAAAAGTAACTGATTAGAAATGATGGACTGTGGTGAGCTGGGCGCCAGGGTGGGGGTGGGGGCGGGAGGGGAGAGCAATGGGGGGGGGGAATGGTGGGACAACTATAATTGAACAACAATAAACTTTTTTTAATTATTAAAAAAAAGAAATTGCAGTTAATGACCCTGGCTGGGGTCTATCCTGTATAACATATTCAAGAGAATGTTTTGGAGTATTTCCATGTTTTTGATTCAAGTTTTTCTAGTTTTTAAGAGTGAACCTGTATGCATTTAAAATTTCTCAAAAAAGACCAAAGCCCATCCAACTGTTACAGTCTATCTTAGGTTCATAAATGGACCCACCAGTCGTTCACCTTATTCTTCTTGGGAAAGTACATAAAGAGTAAAAACCTGAGAAATTCGAGCTTTTGATTTTAGATCTTCAACCAAGTATGAAAATGTTAGTCCAAGTTCTTACCAGGAACACAGTGAGTGATGACTTACATGGTAGATGTACCTTGTGTGCTCAGGGTTACGGGTCAGCAAACCCTATAAAGGTCCAGATGGTAATTATTTTAGGCTTTGCAGGCCATGTGGTCACTGTAACAACTACTCACCTTTGCTGCAAAGCTTGAAAGCTGCCATAACAGTATATGTGAACAAATGGACTTGGCTGGGTGTCAATAAAACTTTATTTACAAAGAAAGACGGTGTATTTGGCACACAGGCTATAGTTTGTGAACCACTACTGACTGATATTTTTTAAACTAATCCTCATTTTAAAATTCTCAGATTTTTACACAGACCCATGGAAATAAGAATGAAAAAATTTTTCTGTTAACAGTGGTCAGAAAGTATTTGTTGTTTCAGTGTGTCTGGTACTTTTCCATTATAAAATAGAAAAGATTTTTTTCATGCTTAGTATTACTAAAAGAAAAAATTAGTAAATGCAAAGCTATACATTATTTCTTGCTCCTTCAAAAAGAGCATGAATGGTATTGTTTTAAATATTTTATTTGTATGTGTCTTCTTTAAACTTAATGCCTATTGTGCACTGATAACCTGTTTGGGCTTTTTAGGTCTGGGTGATTCAGAATACACGTACTTCTGTAATGGGAGCAAGGTAATTGATAAGCGCCTGCAGGAGCTCGGTGCCCGGCATTTCTATGGCACTGGACATGCAGATGACTGCGTAGGGTAAGAGCAACACACCTCCGTCCTTCCAGGAACCTTGTTTGTACGTGATGAAGGGTAGCCAGTGTTTTAAGTGCCTCATCCTTCTCTGTCTGCTAATGGAAGAAATTACAAAAGGTGTCCCAGTATAGTTACCTTTATCAAAAATGTGTAGGTATTTGAAAAATCAGCATTTTTTTAGGAACTTGGATATCATGTGTGTGTGCTTTTCTCTGTGGTGCACATGGGGGCAGATCCTCTCAAGTGGAGGGCGCTCAGTCCCCCGTGGGTCCCTGGGAGGGAGTGCAGACCGGGCCCTCACAGCAGGCTGCGTTCCTTGGCACTCTCTTCCTTACATTTTAATGTCCTCTGAGAACGCAGTTTTTATATTCATTACTTTTATTTATTCTTTCTTCTACAGTTCTGTATTCCACACTATTGCCACCCTTCACATCCTCCTAATATTTATTAAAAGATCTTACAGATACTGATTGGCCTACAACTTATTCTGCCATTTAACCCTTAACTATTTCAGCCAAACAGCGCACACACTTCTTTTCTGTGAGGTGCGTGCATTAAGTGATTTCTCACCACAGCTGTGTTTATGAATGATGACAAACTCAGCCAGTGTCTTGCTTTTCTGCATATTACACCCTTGCATGAGTGTTGGATATATTGGGTTGCCCAAGAAGCTGTCACGTTTCTTTCATGAAAGACACGCTTTTCATTTTCACCTGTAACTTTATTGATTTGGATATTTCAAGTATGTCAGCTATCTCTTGCTATTGATTTCTAGTGAGTAGAGGCCAGGGGTGCTGGGAACGTCTTCCAGGACATAAGATAGCCCCACAGCCAAGAATGTCAGCAGTACCAAGAAACTTCACAAACCACTTTTGACACGTTCGATCAGTCACAGCACCTTCTCCATACACTGCACACATCTTTTTTTTTACATTTCCATTGTATTTTTACCTCTCTTGAAATAATAAAGCATAATATGCTAAAAATGTTGTGTATCTTCTTCCAGGTTCAAAGGGCTGCACAAAAATTCTCCGATTTTGATTTTTTTTTTAATTCATGCTGATGTGATAGTCTAACTTCGAATGAAGTGAAAGACGGCTAAGCACTACGAGAGCCATTGTACAGAAACAACGCAACAGAGTTTTTGGCCAGCTCACTACTTTCATCCCACCAGGCTCCCCCTCCTGCCCACCAGTGCCTGCGGCTGTGATGCTGCGGCTCGTCATGTCCCCAGTGCACAGGCTCTTCCTGATGCTGGTGACAGAGCTCAACCACGTTCCATGTGTGTTACCTTTTAGTTTCGTCCCTTTACATTGGACTTTTTAATTTTCTTCCAGAACCTCACAACATTAAGTATTTGTGGTCTCGTGTGAGCTGTCTAATTGCTAGCTCTTGTGTAGCCCATCAGCCTCTCACTCCGTCCATATTTTACTTCTGTGTAGAGGCTTGGTTTCCCTGTTCATTTACTGGATCAGGTGTTAACATTTTTGAATGTATGTTTCAGCTGCATGTCTTGACTTTTCAGCCTAACTACCTTGCTTGAATTTTCCCTTTTCTAAAAGTGAAATATTTTCAAAAAGACATCCTGGTGTAATATACCACCACATTGAAGGTGTTAAGAATGCCCACTGGAGTCCAAATACCTAGATTTAAATCCTTGATCTCTCACTTACTGACCGAAACCTTGGTCAAATTACTCCACCTTGTTGTGCTTCCATTTCTCCCTCCATGAAATAGATGACAGTAGTGTGTGGTGTGTTAGGTTCTTGGGAGGATGAAAGGGATTAGTACAGCTTGTCCTCTTAGAATAGCGCTTTCCATACAGTGAGCACTCAGTGAGTATCAGCGTTCTATGATTTTTATCTCCGTGTTTCTGAGTTGTAAGACTGGGTTTTCTCACTGTAGCTGTCATTTCAGAACCCATAATTTTATCTACTTACTTTTCCAAAGGCTCCTGAGGGTCAGATGTACCAAACTGAGCACCTAATGAATACAGTGAAATTATAGCCAGTAAATTAGAGTCAATAATATGGAGTCTAAAATGAGCCTTTTCTTAATAGTCATGTAGTTTTATGAATTGGAATTTAATCGGTACCTCCTTTCATTTGTAATTAGACAGAGGTATTATTTCCAAAGTCATAACACACACAATCTTACCTGTACACTTACAGTTTCTCTGTGCAGAGAATGTGGGGAAAGTTACTATGGAGGAACCACACTTTGTCAGGAATAAGGCGACCAACACAGTTCAGATGTGCTTACGATTAATTCAACTTACCTGATGGGTGATTGCTTTTCCCCCGTTATCTGCCTCCCTGCAGATTTTGCCAGAAAACTTGTTCAGAACTGATAGAAAGTTTGAACAGTTACTTAGTCAAGAGACTTAGCATTTATTTCACTGATATGTTGTTGATATTTTAATATGTAGGAAATAATCAAGTTGGCTAGGCAAAGAAAGATACTGTATTCTATTGATATGATTATTAATTTGTAATATAGATGAGACTTGGATTTTGGGTAAGTTCTATTGGCCTAATCAGAACTTAACATGCTTGTTTAAAATTAAAACTTTAAAATGAAGATTGCCAACCCTACTTTAGGGAGTTAATAAAGAAGAATAACATTCCTGATACCTACTACTAAAATACTGGGTTGGCCAAAATGTCTGTTTAGTTTGTTCCATAAAATAAAAAACACATTTTTTATTTTCACCAATAACTTTATTGATTTGGGCATTTTGAGTATGTCGGCTATCTTCTGCATAATGTAGCCTTGATTGTTCTCAATTAATGTCTCAGTTTGATCGCTGTCAACTTCAAGTGATCTACCTAACTATGGGACATGGTCTAGCAAGAAATCTCCAGCTCAGAATTTCGCAAACCACTTTCAACACATTTGATCAACCACAGCACCTTCTCCATACACTGCACAAAATTTTTTGTGCCAGCTGTATTTTTTCCTTTCTTGAAATAATAAAGCTAATATGCTGAAAATGTTGCACATTTTCTTCCATCAATATTAAAATGACAAAAGTTTACCAATTTTGCCCTGGCTGGCATAGCTCAGTGGATTGAGCACTGGCCTGTGAACCACACGATCGCAGTTCGATTCCCAGTCAGGGTACATGCCTGGGTTGCAGGCCAGTTCCTAGCAGGGGACACATGAGAGGCAACCACACATTGATGTTTCCCTTCCTCTCTAAAGATAAATAAATAAAATCTTAAAAAAAAAGAAAAGTAAGTAGCAGAAATATAAAACCATATATAAATATATATTAAAAAATTATCAATTTTGATAATTGTTTTAAATGCATGCTGTTATGACAGCTGTCACAATACAATCTAACAAAATTGTTTCTAATGAAGTTACAGACAACTAAGTGCTATAGAGACATCTTATGGTAAGGGGAAAAACAGAGTTTTTGGCCAACCCAGTATCTTCTTTTCTGCCCTGGCTGGTGTGGCTCAGTGGTTTGGGCATCGTCCCTCAGAGCAAAAGGTCACCAGTTTGATTCCCCGTCAGGGTACAAGCCTGGGTTGCAAGCCAAGTGCCCTGTTGGGGGTATGCAAGAGACAACTGATCGGTGTTTCTCTGGCTCTCCCTGCCTATCCCTCTCTAAAAATAAGTAAAAGTAAATAAAATCTTTAAAATATCTTTATTTCTGTTGTTAAACTTTTATATTAGCTCATTTTGCAGCTCAGTGCTAAGGAACTCATAATAATGTTTTGCTTGTTCACTTAGTCATTTGTCAGTCATTTTTGTATCCGAATAGACTTCCTAGTGTTTCTGCCGGTTGCCTAGCATTCTGCATAACGGACAGACACTGCCATTACCTGTTCTTGCATATTTAAGTGAAGAACTCAGGCTTTTGTTTCTTCTTCCCTTTTTTCTTATAACAATCCAGTTTAGAACTCGTGGTTGAGCCGTGGGTTGACGGGCTCTGGGCTGCCCTCAGGAAGCATTTTATGTCAAGTAGCGGAAAAGAAGAGATGACTGGGACTCTCAGAACCGCATCGCCCGCCTCCCGGAGGATGGACCCTGGGAAACCGGAATTAATACACATCGAATCACAGGTCGAACTTCTCAGATTAGATGACTCAGAAAGAAAGGATTTAGAGGTTTCCAAACAAAATGCAGTGAACGGAGGTCAATCGAATGCTTTGATTGCAGACTTTGAGTCGTCACTTACCCATTCAGTGCCCCCACTGTCCCAGGCCTCTCTCAGTATTCCTGCTTTACCACCCGAGTACTTGCAGGTGCATTTGTGTGAGTCTCTTGGCCAGGTAAGTGGTCTTACTTCATGCTGTGTATTATCTTACCATAGATGTTGGGGGGTTTTATATGTTTTTTTAAATTACAACAGAGATCAACAATCTATGACCTTCTGGCCAAATGTGGTCTGCCAGCTCTGTTGTAAATAAAGTTTTATTAGAACACAGCGATGCCCATCTGTTCACAGGAACACAGCCATGCCCTCTGTGGCTGCTTCTACAGTGGCAGAGTTGCATAGTTACAACAGAGGCCTGCCCTCCATGTACTTCAGAAGCAGTTGTAATATTATATTACTTCTGTCTCTTAAGAAGTAAATGGTTAAGAGCTCAGTTTTTCCATTATGTTGGAGAATTAAAGTCTTGGTTTTTTATTTCAGATCTGAGTCAGTCCAGGGCAAGTCGTGGTCAGTCAGGATATTATCTCAGCAGCTAAACTTACAGGAATCATTTAGAGCAGCATCTCTTCCAGTGTGGATTTTTGCTATCGTGTATACTCCATTTGGGGGGTTATTTTTTTTCTCAACAGTATTTTGCAGACTTGTTTTGTGTATAATAAAGTTTTTTCTTTGCAGGGATGTCTAACCTTTTGGTGTCTCTGGGCCATACTGGAACTAAGAGTTGTCTTGGGCAACACATTAAATACATTGTGACACATAATCACAAAAAAACTCATAATGTTTTAAGTAAATATAATTTTGTGTTGGGCCACATTCACAGCCAACCTGGGCTGCATGTGGCCCACGAGCCGCAGGTTGGACACCCCTGGATAGAACATCTTTCCTGTGAAGTAAATGGCTTTACAGTGGTCTGTAAAATTTTGAACCCAATGAAATACTAGCTTCCTTCTCACGGTTGCCAGTACATGGTGCCCTGAAATGTCCTGCAACGAAGGGTCAGCTCTCAGTGCAGCCTGTCTGCCTGCGGCGGATGGGCGTTCACACGGCTTCCTTACAGAATACCACACCCTCAAAGCAGCAATCCTGATTTGCAGTTTTTTAGTTTTCTTTCTAGTAAAGAAAGACTTGACATTAGAGAAACAGTTTAAGTACAACTTTCTAATGCAGTAGAAACTGGTTGCAGACGTCTGATGTGATCGTAATTTTTTAGCATCGTATTTTTTTATACTGTCTTTCTCAAGCTTTCATATAAGCAATGTGTGTTCTTGTTTTGGACTTACACTGCATTAGTTTGTGAATTAAGTGAGGCAATTACGATAAAGTACATGTTTGGTTTGGGAACTAAAGAAAGAGGTCATGGCTCTACATTAAAAGGTGGACTGCACAGGAAATTTACTCTAAGTGCTGGGAGAAATGTCCGGGAATAGGCAGCCAGTACATCGGCCTCCACTGGAGGGTGCAGAGCACACAGACCTGCTGCAGAGCATGAGCAAGCTTGGGGACATGGGGCAGTGGCCCGGTGAGCCCTGATTAGTCTGGCAGCTTGCTTCGGTAGGGCGAGGGTCTGCCAGGAGTTTCGTTTGTGGCAGTTGCCATTAAATAGGCTTGAGTCCTTAGTAATGTGGTTGAAAATCTCACCTATTTAAGGAAAGTTTGTATAAACCTGCTCCAAGGACACATGTAGAGAGAAAGAGATCGGAAAAGTTTCTCTTACTAAGGCATCCTTTTGGGATCATCGCCTTGAGAAGCTGATACGGGGGAGGGAAGGATGCCCCAGTCCCCCACACATTACCTGCGATTCAGGCTCTCAGCACTCACCCTCTTCCAGCTTCCCATGCAGCCGCTTAAAAATTAAAAATGAATTTAGTAGCTTTTTGTTAAAAGTAAGTTTCTACTTTTAGTAGAACTTAGGAACATCAAGTTGGAAAAGGTATGGGGACAGTATAGAATCAGGTTTTCTTATAGTTTCCAGGACCAGCGCTGTCTAATACTTGCACCACCACCACATGTAGCTACTTAAATTACTTAAAATTACGAATGAATCTAGTTTCTTAATCACACTAGTCAGTTTTCAGGTGCTCAGTAGGCACACGTGGCTAGCAGCTCCTCTATTGGCCAGTATGGGTCCAGAGCATCTCATCACTGAGAAAGCCCTGTTGACTGTCACTTCCCACCACTGGGGGTTCTTGTGACCATCTGTACAGACACCTTCCAGTCGGAAACACCTGCCGTTTCCTTTGGAATTGCCTTCCTAAAGTACACGTGCCTGCTGTTTCACTTTGTACAGTGTCTTAGGAAGGCTGTTAGAAATTTACATGAAAATGCTCATTCCGGTATCAGTATCTCAGAAATTCTAATGTCTAACAGGGAGTTTAAAGCATGATGAGCTTCTCTCTCGAAAGATGGAAAAGCATATGTGTGTAGTCACTTACCTTAGAAAGGAATACTTAAATAGCCAGGATGTTTTATAAGATCCCGTAGATCTTATGTAGTCACTTAGTGAAGCAGTGGTAAGTATTATTGAAAAATGCACTTAGTAATATTTTGTCACATTTGTTTCTCAAGGAGGAAAGCCAAGCGTCTGTGACTTCAGTAGATCCAATTTTTCAAGTTCCAATTTCGAAGGCAGTTCAGCTGACTACCAGTGATGCCATAAAAACCACTCTTCTGGTAGAATTGGACATTTCAGTAAGTTACAGAATTTATTTCTCACCGCAGTCATGTTGTCAAGGAGTGCAGACTTACTTGTGTGCTGTTCTAGTTGGTACACTCTGGAAGAGAGTCTCTGACAGGACTCTGGCCTTTTTATTCTTTTTTTTTAGTACATGTTGTTGATTATGCTATTACAGTTGTCCTGGTTTTTCACCTTTTGTTCCCCTCCACCTCCTACCCCACATTCCCAACAGCAATCACTGCCCCCATGGACATAGTCTCATGTCCCTTGTCCCATAGTGTCATGTCCCATAGTTTCATGAGACTATGTCCATGGCTCTCATGTATAAGCTCTTTGGCTTCACCATTCCCTGTACTGTTCTTAACATCCCTCTGTCTATTTTGTATCTACCAGTTATGCTTCTTAATCCCTGTATCTTTGACCTCATTCTTCCCCATCTCCCACCCTGCTGATAGCCCTCCAAATGATCTCCATATCTATGATTCTGTTCCTGTTCTGGTTGTTTGCTTAGTTTGTTTTGTTTTTTTTTAGATTCAGTTGTTGCTAGTTGTGAGTTTGTTGCCATTTTAATATTCATAGTTTTGATCCTTTTCTTAAATGGTTCCCTTTAACATTTCATATAATAAGGACTTGGTGATGGTGAACTCCTACCTTGTCTGGGAAGCACTTTATCTGCCCTTCCATTCTAAATGATAGCTTTGCTGGATAGAGTAATCTAGGTTGTAGGTCTTTGCTTTTCATCACTTTGAATATTTCTTGCCAGTCCCCTCTAGTCTGCAAAGTTTCTTTTGAAAAATCCACTGATAGTCTTATAGGAACTCCTTTGTAGGTAACTCTCTTCCTTTCTCTTGCTGCTTATAAGATTCTTCATCTTTAACCTTTGGCATTTTAATTATGATGTGTCTTGGTGTGGCCCTCTTTAGGTCCACCTTGTTTGGGACTCTCAGTGCTTCCTGGACTTGTGTGTCCATTTCCTTCACCAAATTTAAGAAAGTTTTCTTTCATTATTTTTTCAAACTAGTTTTCAGTTTCTTACTTTCCTCTTTTCCTTCAGGCATCCCCTATGATTCTGATGTTGGCACTTTTGGAGATGTCCCAGAGTTGTTTATTCTCTCCTCACTTTTTTGAATTCTTGTTTCTTCATTCTGTTCTGGTTCACTTTATTTCTTCCTTCTACTCCAAGTCATTGATTTGAACTCTGGCTTCCTTCCCTTCACTGTTGGTTCCCTGTGGATTTTTCATTATTTCACTTAGCGTAGGCTTCATTTCTTCTCAGTGCCTTTGTCATACTTAGGCACTGAGTTCTCTGAGCATCCTTATCACAAGTGTTTTGAACTTTGTATCTGATAGGTTAGCTATCTTTGTTTCATTTAGTTCTTTTTCTGGGGTTTTGTTCTTTTCTTTTATTTTGGTCATGTTTCTTTGTCTCTTCAATTTAGCAGCCTCCCTGTGTTTGTTTCTGTATATTATGTAGAGCTTCTTTGACTCCCTGTCTTGCTGCACCTGTCACGTTGAATGAGGCAGAACCTCAGGTAATTACCAGGGTGAGTCAACCCGCTTCACTGCTTTGTGGCTTTGTGTGGGGGGGAGGAGCCAGAGAGGAGACAATTCTGCCGGAGGCTTGCTCAGCACTCACCATTCCAGTCACTTCACCTACTTCTTGTATGCAGTTGGCGCCTCTCTAGCTATTGCCTAGTGGTGGTTCCCAGAGTAGGTGGGTTTGTGTACATTGTAGGACTGTGCAGGCCCTTAAAACACTCACCTGAGAGACCAGCAGTTTCTTCTGCTGCCCCAACCCCTGCTGGTTTTTACAACCAACAGTTAATGAGGCTTTATTTCCCTGGCACTGGAACCCTGCTCTGTGCGATTTGGCCTGGGGCTGGGATCACTGGCTCCCCAGGTGTTTCTCCTGATCTTCATCCATCTCACATCAATGTGGGACCTCCCGTTCTGTCGGCCACCGCCACCTCACTGCCACCTCACTGTGTCCTCTCTGCCCCTGCACTCCCTGTCTCTGCCCCTCCGACCCATCTGGATGAATATGGCTTCTTTAAATCCTTGGTTGTTGGACTTCCATACAGTTGGATTTTCTGGCAGTTCTGGGTATTCTTTTTTATAAGATTTTATTTATTTATCTTTAGAGAGGAAGGGAGGAGAGAAGGAGAGAAATATCAGTGTATGGTTGCCTCTTGTGAGTCCCCGGCTGGGAAGTGGCCTGCAACCCGGGCATGTGCCCTCACTGGGAATTGAACTGTGGTTGTTTGGTTCTCAGGACTGTGCTCAATCCACTGAGCTATACCAGCCAAAGTGTTTTTTTTGTTTTGAGATTGGTTTTGATCCTTCTTATGGTTGTGCAAGGAGGCAAAGTGTGTCTAACTATGCCTCCATCTTGACTAGAAGTTGGCCTTTTATTCTTACCCATCATACTTCTCCCCACCTCACACCTGTTTTCTTCTCACTTCAGGGAGGGCCTAAAATGAGCAGCTTGAAAGTATAGTGTTGCCGCCTCACACATTGCCCATGAGAGTATAATGGCATCAGAACAGCCTTTCCATGCAGGAGGAGTCCCGGGAGGAAGCTGTTGACCCAGGTCAGCGGGCTGGTAGGAAATGGCGCTCAGCCTAGACAGTCATGTATTAGTTCATTTTTTCAGAGCACTGGTTCTCCTTCCTTTGAGAATCTGGGAAAAAATCACTGATCCTCTTTCCAGAGAAATGCTTGTATTTAAACATTTCCTATAGTTTCAGGGGTCACTGTACTTATCTCTCAACTTCACCCACTAGCCCATCCCCGGCACCTTCTCCAAATCTGGTGACTTCAGGTTAAGAAACTATGGTGGATGACCTCGAAAGCTCAGTGGTTGGATACTTCTTGAGAGCTGTGCAGTTCAGCCCTTCATTTGATGAAGGCCCTGAGAAGCTCAGTGGGTTGCAATTTCAGGAAAGTGAGGGCGCATCAAGGCTGTGTATGTAGATACATTGAATTTCCTAATGGAAACAGAAAAATGACAGGCAGCAAAACTAGGTTTTGCATACATAGTATTGAGTCGTCCCATACTTTTTTTGAACATTTTAGCATTCCGTATTGTTAAATATTCTGGGTACATCAGAACATTTTATTTTCTATTCTGCTGCTCTACTTTGGTCATGCAGAGGCAAGAGTGGCCCGTTTGGTGAGGCCAGTCCATCCCCCACAGGCCAGCGGTGTGAGTGCGTGTGGTCAGAGGCCCTCTCCAGACGCTGGTCTGCGTTCCCCATCACTCTGTTAATAGACACGCTGTTTGTTCACCTCCGGGACCAAGCCAGATGGTGTAACACTTTCCACTCATGAAGGAAAAAATAGTGTCCTCTCCCACTGTACCCCTCCCCAAAGGGAAGGAAATTGAAGACCAATGCAAATGGCCTCGGGGAGTTTCTTTTGCTCATAACGTGTCTGTGCCCGTGTGTGTGTGTGTGTGTGTGTGTGTGTGTGTGTGTGTGTGTTCTACATGGATTGCTAAAACACTTCTTATTGAGATCCCTTACTCTATAAAATGGGGAAGGTCTCTGCTTCCATTCTGTAAGTACTCGGTGGTATAAAGCAAAACAATGGATAACTACAGAATTCCATTTTTAAAATAACTCCTAATACATATGTTCATTCAGTTCATTGGCTTGTTAGCTTTTTTTGTAATTAAAACCATTTGGAGTTTCTAACTGATATATTAAAATGGTGATTACAATAAAAACTAATTTTGTTGCTCACAGCTAAGATCTTTAGTTCATATGGGATTTTTTTCTTTTGTGCTTGTTCTTCTCTAGAAGACAGAGTTCTCCTATCAGCCGGGAGACGCCTTCAACGTGCTCTGTCCCAACAGCGAGTCCGAGGTGCGAAGCCTGCTCCAAAGGCTGCAGCTCACAGGCCAAAGGGAGCATTGTGTCCTCTTGAAAATCAAAACAGACACCAAAAAGAAAGGTAGGGCTCTGACCCTTTTCTTAAGGTGTCCCTGGGCCGGCAACTCGGAGGTGACACAGGCAAGTGCCCCCCCCCGCCCCCCCCCCCGCCCCCCACACTCCCATTGAGCATCAGGGGATCGGCTGTTGTCAGCGGAAAAACATAGGCACTGGCCAGTGTTGCTGGATCCTTGACCTTTACAGCAACTACACTGAGTGAGATGATGATGGGTTTTATGCTTATTGGCCACATACTGACATTAAAAGGGAATGTAACTGACTTTGGAGAAGCAGGTTGGCTAGTTGGACTGATTTATTTGCTTTTTGAAGTTAGTGTTATTTTGTTCCTAAGTTCACATATTAAAATGTTGTACAGGCAAACCGTTATCAGCCTTTAAAAAAGGTTGTTTTCCTTTTATGTTTACTATAGCATGTTATTGCTTATTTAATATAAATAATTGATTTTTTATCATTAAAGGAGGATTTTTTTCAGCTCAGGCAGTTCTAATTTTTTTCTTTTTTTGATACTAATTTTAAACATTTTTTAATGTATTGATTTTAGAGGGGAGAGGGGTAGAGAGAGATGTTGGTTTGGTGTTCCACTTATTTAATACATTCATTGGTTGATTCTTTTATGTGCCCTCACTGGGGTTTGAAGTCACAACCTTGGCTTGTCAGGACGACACTCCAGCCAGCTGGGTACCTACCCGGCCAGGGCCTAAAATTCTTTCAGAGAATTACATGGGATGTTGACAGATGCCACATTTGACCTTCCTTCAGTTCCTTGGTTTTGAATAAATTCCTTCCTTTTATTTGGCATACCTATATTTGGTTGTTATATCTGTTGAATTTATAATTCTTTTTTTTTTTTTGTAAAACAGGCTTTTCTGCCGGATTTATTTTGAGGAATGTTTTTTACAGAATAAACAATGTCACAATCACACTGCAGTTTGATAACACTGTAATGTAAAGCATCGCTGTCACTGATGGTGGGGGCGGGTACCAAACCTTTCACTCTTTCTTTTCTGTGCCGTGAACACCTTCTTGTCCACTTGAAAAGGAGCAGCCTTGCCCCAGCACATACCTGAGAGGTGTTCTCTCCAGTCCATCCTTACCTGGTGCCTCGAAATTCGGGCTGTTCCTAAAAAGGTATTCTTCATTCTTCTTTGGGAAACTATTTACAAACATGGCTAGCTCTCTGTTGGGTTTGTTAAACAGATCTGCTCTCTGCCCTTTGAAGTCTTAGAAAAGATGGTCCTCACAGCGTGTTTTCAAAATTAGTCCCCAAGGGTGTGTGGCGTCTTCATAACTCGTAGACAAAATATTTTTATGTTGTGTTTCCCTGGAAATTTCATGTGTCCTGTTGAAGTGAGATTTCTTAAATAAGGCTTTTTGTTAGTCTTACTTTTACTGGACATTAATTTAATGCAGCGGATTAATCAGTGATGAAGGTAGCCCTAGGTGATCCTGTGTTATCCATCCGCACACTGACACCTGTCTCTGACGGCTGACGGGGAATGAGAGTGCACCACCCCGTGTCTGTCAGCTGTTTAATGTCGTTGCGCTCCCTTTTATGTAAAACTGCAGAATTATGCATTGTTAAGGCAGAATTTACTGGGAGATATTGAAAGATTTTGGTAGGCTGCATTGATGTTGAGATAAATTTGGAGAGAGAACTATCCACTAGATGTCAGTATGTGGCTATATTTAAAAAACAGAAGTTTAACTGATTCATGACTCACTCTAACCATGTTCCTCAAATGGGTGCCAAGGAGTAAAACTCTCTGCCCTGTGCTTTGCCAGATGTATCTGGCCAGGGAGCATAGACAGTGGTATTAGTAGGCCACCACCCTTCAGGAGGCAGTTTTTTTCTACGTGCATTTGTTGCCTTTGGGAAGCAAACTACCTAGAGAGAGGCTGAGTCCTAGATGCCATGAGAAATTTAGAATTAACTGTGGTGAAAGCGCCTTGATTAAATTAAATAAATTTAAAATGTTAGTTTAATTCTACCATTTAAAAAAATTTCATGAATTTTATATTATTTTACCATAAAAGTAATATGCTCATTGTAAAAATTGCAGACGCAAGAATAGCTAACTCAAGAAACAAAAGTTCTATATAATCAAGCCCTCAGAGTTAATGCTTGAATATTGTTTTGCTTTTTAAAAAAATGAGGTTCTCTAGTACATATACAGCTCTGTAACGTGTTTTTCACTTATGAAGAAATGAGTAGTGTGTGTGGCCCAGCATGGAAAGAGAGGGGAGATAAAGGACAGAAGCCACAGGGGCCAGAATGAAATTGCCGGTTTAATCATGGACAGTTGGTTCCTTCCAGTTTTTCACTATTCAAAAAAAACTGAGAGGAACATTCTTGCACTGTATTCATTTTTGCACACCCGTTTGAACTTTTTTTTTAAACACATTCCTTGGAGTCGAATTGCTGCTTTAAAAATACTTGCACTTTAAATGTTTGTGATTTCCACCCACTTGTTCTCTGCAAGCAGTGCTGTGTATCCTTTGGACCAGAAAGTTGCTGTAATTCTAAAGCAACAAATAAGTTAAAGATTTACAATTGCTGCTATTTTATTGCAACTCAGGATTTTACTGCAACTCAGGAAGTTTTGTTGACTCGAGAAATTGGCACAAAGTGTTACTGGTAAACTCTTTTACCCTACCGTAGGTCCCTGCAGAGACTTGGGTGTTTTTCATTCTACAGCCTTTCCCAGGTGCCTGTGGTACGTTTGGCGCTGTGTAGGGCACCTTGAGAAAGCTGTGTGGATGTGTGGGTCTCTGGATCACGCAGGCAGGGTTCACAGCTAAGCCGCTGGAAGCCTGTGACCTCCGCAGGGCCAGCGGCCTGGCCAGCCCTGTTGAGGGAATGCAGAGCACACGAAGTCTGAGCCGTGGAATGAAAGCAGCAGCATCCGTTAGCATCCGAGAAGCATTTGATGCAAATAACTTGCTCAAGTGCTTTCATCCTAAATCACCTTGAGCGATAAGAGCTGTATATGTCAGAGGATAGATAAGCTTGGAATTGCATCGGAACCTCAAGTCATTGGCGTGTTTGGTCCTTTGTTCCAGAGTTTGGACTTGAGTCAGGCTTTGAGATTTCAGATTCAGGACTTGGTTTTTCATTTTTTGTTCATATTTTCCTTTTTCTACAATGAATCTGAGTGACCGAGTGTCCGTGTACTGCAGGGTGTTTGACGTTCTGGCCCGTTCTGTCTCGTCTGCCTCCCGCCCCGTGTCCACGTTTTCCTGCTCACATACTGAACTGCATGCGGTCCCCGGCCTTCCTGCAGCTGTGCCATCGTGTAGCCCCTCTTCCTCCCCCTCGTTTCCAGTGGCCAGCCCTCCGCTCAGTCTTGCATTCTGCATGGGCCTCTGTTGGGGGAGCTAGCTTCTTGTACACGAACTATTCCTTGACTTCTGTTGCTCTCTTGAGCCTGTGAAACCCTACGGGCAAGGTAGATGTCACTTTGTCCCCAGTGTCTCACCTGCCCAGTGCTTATCACCTGAGAAGCACTTAACAGCTGCCCACTACCAGTAAGTGTGGGAGTCTAGGTTGTCACCGTCAGCTAAGGCAAGAGCAGTATTGTGGTCTGACGCAAAATGTCGAGTTAGATGTTTTGACCACTTTTTCTCAGATACACCTGACATGTAATTTGAGATCACACTTGGGACTAAAGAGGTTAGTTCAGAGTACAGGAAAGGTGAACAAAAATTCAACATAAAAGTAGGTTTTCCTAACAGGCTGACATTAAATCAGATAGCAGAGTAAATTCCCTTTTCCTGACCACACTTTTAGTGGCTCTCTCACTTTTTCTTGGACAGTCGGGCACATGCCTAGGCAGACACTACCAAATGGTTCTGATAGCTATAACCACAGCGCACATGACGATTTAAGTCTGCTTCCTTTCCTTTGGCCACAGGCACTTTTGCGAGCCCTTGTGGACTGTACCAGTGATGGTGCCGAGAAGCGAAGGCTGCAGGAGCTGTGCAGCAGACAGGGGGCAACCGATTACAACCGTTTTGTGAGAGACGCCTGCGCCAGCCTGTTAGACCTTCTGCTCGCTTTCCCATCCTGCCAGCCTCCACTCAGCCTCCTGCTTGGTAAGTGGTCACGGTCATGGTCCCTGCGCTCCAGGGCTGCTTGCTCTGTGTGGTTAAGAACAGTGGCTGCTGTCATGTCTCCTGGCCTGTGAATTCTGTGCAGCCACTCGGGAGCACATCGGAACAAGCTGTGAGCAGTGAGCCGGCATCTCAGTTTGTCTTCCGGGTGCCTTGACATCTGAACTGCCCTCAGGAAGGCCGAGAGGGTCCCTCTTCCATGCTTTTTTGTCTCCTTGTTTCTTCTAACATCGTCACTGTCATTTTCTCTCTTCATATGGCCAGTCTTAATTCTCATTTTTTGCTCAGCATTTAGCATCTATTCTATTTTACTATTTTTCAGAAAGCATTTTTGCCAAATTTTTTCTCTCAGGCTTCTTACAGGTAATCCCACCTTTTACGATGTGGCGTTGGGGGCAAAGACTTTGCTCAAGTCCAGATCTAGGGTCCTTCCTCAGCAAAAGGGGGCTCTCCTGTTGTCCCAGGGCACGGGGCCTTACTTAGAGCACATCTGGGCATCGAGCTGGGAGAGACCGTCACGAAATACGCAGATGCGTGTCGGTCCTGTGTTCGTTCAGACTGTCTCCTGGGTCTCCAACTCCAGCAGCAGACGGCTTCAGATCCTCCTGGAGGAACCGCTTTGGGGGAGGGGAGGGCTTTCAGTGGAGTCTTGGTGGCCGTGAGAATTGTAATGATTCAAATTACATTCGTACTACTTTCCTGTGCTTGTAATTTTGTCATCTCCACGGTGTTTGCCTGTAATGATGAGTAGTAAAATTCCTGAAATTTGTGTCTGCCTTTGGTGGCAGGAAAGCATGTGTTGTGCTTTTCACTGTTGAGCCGGCAGAGTCCTTTTTGATTCCCGCAGGACACAGTGAAGCCGCTCTCCTGTCCAAGTCAGGCCCTGCTTTTTTGTTCCTTTAATTTCTCAGTATTTCATTCTCTTTCTTCTTTCCTCATCCTCAAAAGGGTACAAATTGTCACCAGGTAAGACTGCTCTTCCCTGCTTTCCTGTATTCACAGGAACGCCCTGCATTTTTATTTGAGTCTTACAGGTGAATAGAGGGCTTGGGGGAACATTCAGAACACGTGCAGGGAAGTTACACAAAGTCTCGTGAAGCTCGGGATCACAGAGGAGTTCCGTTCATGGATTTCCTGTTACCTTTTAGACCTTTTATTGTCATTTATTACCCAGTTTTGTGAAAAACTAAGATACTGAGACATTAAAATTTGACTTATTTTTCAGTTTAAGAAAACATAGTATGTCTACAGCTTGAGTCATGTATGAAACTTTTTTATATTCATTAAAACCAAGCCATTTTAGAAAGATCTTTCCAAATTTTTGCTAAGTACTGTATTTTGTCGTGTATCGTGCCCTCTTGTCTAAAATGCTCATCTATGTTTTTGCCCCTGACTTCCAGGAAAATGATCTTTTGTTTTAATTTTCAATTCAATTTTTTATTCATTTCTACATAGGTACTTGGTTTTTGTATTTTGTATTATAAAGGAATTTTAGCATTTATGTTTTATGTATGGTACAAGCAATTTTACATAACAAATTACAAAACTCAAGAACAGATACAAAGTACTTTAGGTACTACCCACATATAATACGCATGCTTATATTTCCCTCAAAAATTTGGGCAAAGAAGTGTGTATTATACATAGCAAAATACAGTAACTGTTACAAATACGGCATTGAAACTCTTTACTCTTACAAATATGATATTGAAAATTATTACAAACGTGACTGAAAAATTTGAAAGCTTTTTGATGGACAACTAAGTATTCAGATACTGATTTCTTAGTCTGTTTTAGACACACCTATGTATCTTGAACTCACTAGGTTCCTCAATAAGTTGATTTAAAAATGCCCATTGCTAACTTCCCATTTTTTTACTATCATATAAATATAAGAAGGAAAAATATTTCAAGCCTCAATATCCAAAATTCTTAAAATTGGGGTCTTTAATCTTTAGGGGGTCATGATCTTATTTCAAATCTGAAAACTCTGTCTGAACACTCCAGAAAACTGCATGGGCACACAGGAGAAATTAATGGGCTTCTTGACCCTGAAGCCCACTCATAGACCTTCTCCTGTAGCATCTTTTAGTTTCAGAAACCAGCCATTAGGTAGAAGCACTGATTTCAGATAGGGAAATGTAGTATGTCTGGTTTACTTTAGGAATTTGGCAAAAATATTCAGTAGTAGTTCACTCAGATATGGTGGATTTACATGTGCTTCAAAATATAGTTTAAAACTAAAACTTAAATTATTTTGAATAATTAAATAAAATAATCAAATGAGACCTTGACTTTTTTTACCCCTTATATATCTTGTATTTTCAGTAGGCATGAGTTAATAATTGCTTATTTTTATTTTCTTCTAGAACATCTTCCTAAGCTTCAGCCCAGACCTTATTCATGTGCAAGGTACTGCTATTTACTAACATGAGACATAGCATCTTCCTCCCAACACATTATGAAGTCCACCTTCCAAATCTGCAGTAGCTACACACGCATTCAGTGAAAACTTACCCGATTGGTGGAGAAGTCTCAGGCATAGTAAGGAATGAAGCAGACCAGTGTGAGGAGTCCTGCCCTCCAGGAGTTCATTGAGTAGGGAACCTCAGTGGCTCCCGCACTCCAAACTGGGTTCCCACTTTGGGCAGCTGTTCTCCTGGTGCTGCCGTTAGTGGTGTGCCTGGTAGCCTTCAGTAGACAGTGGAGGAGGACGGGGGAGGGAGGGGAAAGTGCGCAAATCTTACTGCACCTAGTCTTGAAGGCCAATAGGTCATTAGAAGCTTCCCTGAGTGATATTATGAAATGAGGGCGGGAGCTTCTAAGTGGCAGCAGAGAAGAGTTGGGAGTCAGAAGATGCATTAGAGCCCATAAGGAAGAACAGGGTGGAGCAGAAGTAGGCTTACAGTCTTTCCTACAGAAAATAATACATTGATGATAAGTAAAAACACGAGAATAAACTTAGTGTTTCATTACTCATAACTGTAAACCTACTTTGCTCTACTCTGGATTTTCCCTGCAATAAAAATGGGCTAGTTTGGCCTAAATGTATTGGCCCTAACAGAGTTTAAAGATGCGTGTGTGTCTTGGCAGCTCCAGTCTAGCTCACCCTGGGAAGCTTCGCTTTGCTTTTAACATCGTGGAGTTCTCGTCCAGCGCCACATCGCCGGCTCCGCGGAGAGGCGTGTGCACAGGCTGGCTGGCCACGCTGGTTGAGTCATTTCTTCTGCCGAACACACGTGCATCCCCTGCAGATGACGTGAAAGCCCTGGCTCCCAAGGTACCAGCAGTGTGCCATTGGCACCGTTGAAATGATGTTCTTTGCTTGATTAGGAAAAATGTGTAGCCTTCCTGCACTGTCCAGCACCACCGGATTATTCAGAGTGTGTGTGCCCCACTTGAGTTTTTAAGTCCCTGTTGGAAAGTCGGGAAAACATTACTTTCACTCTCTATTAAGTGGTCCGAGCATTTTGTGAATATGTGAAGCATGATTTTTATATAATAGAGTCCTTTCTGATTTGCCTGTCATATTCTTAGAAGACCTTTTCTGTTAATATTTTTGGTAGATTGGCACAGAGGAGCCAAGTGAATATCGAAAACTGCCTTGTTGTACGTTTAAGCCACAGGCTGTGTCCTGCAGAAGCCCTTCTGGAGAGGCAGTCAGGCGACAACCAACGACTGACCTGATGTCCTTCAGTTTGGGCAGCAGCATTTGCACTTGGCCCTATTTCTTCCCTTTTTTCAGAGCTGTGGCGTCTCGATTCTGAAGTGGCGCTCTTAGTGAGAAGACATTGTGGGGGGGGTCACTTTTGAAACACACAGAAGAAAAATGTTATCTGGTTATTCTGAAACAAACTGTGGACACGTTATATCTAGACACATTATATATTTCGATACAGCACTCAGCAAAATCTCATTCGAGGCCACATGCATAGCCAACAGTATCAGGTTGTCCCTCCCCACCCATACGAATGACTGGAATTAAAAAAAAAAACTGCAGGCTTTATTGTGAAGTCTTCTTCTCCATGGTATTGAAATGAATGTGTCATTTGTAGCATTATTTTATGACTGGTTTGGTTGCTATAAGTTATTGGAATTGAAAAGGTCACGGCTCTTAGAAGGAATTAAGACCTCTGGTACATACGCAAGAGGGCTTACAGGAAGATTGCTGCTTGACATTGCCCTTTAACTTGGTATTTTCTCAGGCTGCTGCCTGCAACAGAGCTGGTTTACTCCGTGTGTATGTGTGTGTCCCCATCCATTTTTCTCCTCCCTCCTCAGTGCTCCTAGATTTTTATATCACTACAAAACGTTGATCACCTGAGAAGATTCTTTTTTTAAAAAAAAGGAAATATTTTAATATTGGCATAAAGGTGTTATGTTACTTCGTGATCATATAATACCAGATGAACGCCACAAAGTTAAAAAAGTAACAGTGTATTCATAATGTATCCTAGACTCTAAGGAGAGGTGTCTTCCTCATATTCCCGCTTTCCTTCTGCCTCTCCTCCCTCTTTCCTTCCCAACTTTAACAGATTTTGACTACCCAATATTCAGACGTCAGAGGTGCAGGTAGAAATGATAATTTAGAACTGTCTTAAGTTTCCTGGTGTTTAGTAGTACCATATTTTATTAGGAAGTGGAGAGAATATTTAGGGCATGATCCGCCACCGGCCCTCCCCCGAACTGCTAGGTAGTACAGTCGTTCAAATGCCGCCCCGCCCCCATCTCCCAACCCCCCGTGGAATAGACTCCACCTCCCACTGGCATTTAGCCTCCACCAGTGAAACCTGAGCAGACCGGGTGTGTGCCAACCACGTCCGAGTAGGAGCCCTGGGCCTGATGGCGTGGCTCGCCTCCCTCAGTCTTTCCCTCTGACCTAAGGACAGGATCGTCCAGGAGAGCCAGGAGTCGGTGTGTGTGGCGCTGTGACCCGTCTGAGATGTGCTGCCGCGAGACCGACTGACTGCTGTTCAGGGGCTCCTCGCAGTCCCTGAACACAGAGATCAGGCTTTGTTAGCAGTTCACGGCCATACCATTGTGTCCTGTCTTTGCCTCGTGAGAGGTAATCACTAGTCATTCTAGGGACGTGTGTTTGTTCATTCCACCCACTAGAATACAAGCCCCATGAAGATGGATTCGGTTCTGCTCCGTTCTCTATTCCTAGTGCTTGTCATACTGAGTACCTTGAACAAAATCATTAAGTCAAGGAACCAAGTGAATAGGCTAATGTGATATTAATTAGTGTCATTCCATAATGAGGACAGTGATTTGATACAGCTCTGCCAGTTCTTCACTTAAGTAAGTCCTGTCCATGAACTTCATGTGATTTTTTTCCTTGAATTAAAGGTTGAAACATACACAGTTACCAGCATGGACTATGGAGCGATTCCTGTCACTCCTCACTCTTAGCACCACCCAGCATAACGTGTGCGTGTGGCGAAGGGAAACGCAGAGAAATCTCTGTGTACTTACAGATCTGTTTCTTGTAAGTCATGCTGCCACGTGATTGAGGAGAAAAGTCTTCTGAAATTTTGGTGAAAAGGTTTTGTCTATCACTTACTTTGAGTTTAGCACAAACAGAAACAACTTGAACCCAGAACACCATGCAGTTCTCCAGCATCTTTGGAGCAAGCCCTCAATTTCCTAGTTAGCCGCCTAATTTTCACTTAAAACTTTCACACCACCTTGATGTTAGTCTTACTGCTTCTGTGTGCACAAACACGGTCACGTCCTCATGTCCTTCTGCATTCCTCCAAAATGCGTGTCGCACGTTGGACCTGTGGTGCGGGGAGCACACCTTATTCATGGAGCTAGAAAAGGGGCGATTATATCTGGTCAGTGTTCTACCTCAGAAATATCGAGCCTGTCCTTTTAAACATACCATTGATTTAAATAGAAATGTGTAAAATACACTTGTTTGTTCCTCTGTAGTGATGAGCATGTTCACAGTTTCAACAAGATGTCATGCTATGTAAATTTGTAATGTTTCTTTGAGGGAATTTGCGCTTTCTGGTTTCTTTAGCAAAGATCACCTTGGTTATGTGCTTTTTAGATTTTCTTTCATATTATAACTTGTTTTAATATTCCAGATCCTCATCTCTCCTCGGACAACAAACTCTTTTCACTTACCAAGTGACCCCGCGGTCCCCATCGTCATGGTGGGCCCGGGAACTGGCGTAGCGCCCTTCCTGGGTTTCCTGCAGCACAGGTACGTCGCCGGCTGGCGAGCACGCGATCCCTGGTGGTCCTGGGAGTGGACCAGAGGTTTGTTGTTTCTGCAGTGGTTTTTAGGATATTGGACTACAGTTATGAAATCCTTATTTTAAAACATTATTATTAAATGCACAATAGCGTAACAGTTTGTCACCATGGGAACAGTAAACGTGCTCTCTCCTAGAGGGTTTGCTTTGTGCCCGAACTGCCCGTTCTGCTGGAGCACTTCCGCCTGCTGCCCCGCAGTCCGGAGCCGGGGCAGAGTCACTGCAGAGCTGTCCACTGTGGCAACGTGCTGGCCGTTGCATCTGCTCCTTAAGTAGATACAGTCGGTGGTGACAGATCCAGTTACACCATGAGTCTCAAAGTGGAGCCCCAAATATCAGTAATTTTCAGTAGGATGGTATTAATGCATGTAACTTCCATCAGGACAGAACTATTTGATACAGAATGAATAAAAGTGTGCTTCTCTCCCCATTTGTGAAGTAATGAGTTTTTCCTCAGACAGTGGGGTAACGTCCTTTGAACATGGTCTTTGTCGTTTTCTTTTGTTCTTTTTTTCCTTAGGGAAGCGAAAGAGTAGTGACAGACACCTTCAGCGTGTCTCGTCAGTGTGTTCTCAGCAGACATTCTGCCTTTCAGAACCCTCTGCCACTTTCCCGCTGTATGCTTGAGAGTTCATTTTATTCATAAGATTGTTATTAATATTGAATAGAGAAATTGGTCTGGGTGTGGCAGTGTGGCATCCTGACTTTTTCTTGCTGTAAGGATGTCACGTAGGACTCGGCGGCGTCTGCAGCCCACGGACACGCTCACTCACCGCAGCGTCTGTGGGAGGGGCCGAGGCAGGCTGCGGAGAGCAGACCTTCAGGGGCTCCAAGGACAGATGTGGCAGACCTGTCTGGGTTGCTTGGTGGTACAGTGTTCCCACTGCAGAGGGAGATGGGTTGTACATTTATGTCAAACATCGCGGCTTTCTTTTTTCCTTAGAGAGAAACTCCAGGAACAACGCCCAGATGCACACTTCGGGGCGACGTGGTTGTTTTTCGGCTGCCGGCATCGGGACAGGGATTATCTATTCAGGTACTCTACGCGTTGTCAGACTCAGTCCCAGGTGGACAGTTCTCAGTGCACTTTTTTAATGTTCACTTACACACCTTCCGGTGACCCGTTCTGTACTGTGTTTCAGAGAAGAACTCAGACGTTTCCAGAAGCTCGGAATCCTAACTCACCTGAAGGTGTCCTTCTCCAGAGATGCCCCTGTGGGCGAGGAGGAAGCCCCAGTGAAGTACGTGCAAGACAACATTCAGCTTCACAGCGAGCAGGTGGCCAGGCTCCTTCTTCGGGAAAATGGCTGTATTTACGTGTGTGGGTAAGTGACCGTCATGCTCAGGTACCAGGTAAGCGGCGGCAGGCAGCGATATTTATTAAAGGATCAAGGGACCAGTCAGTTAATAAATCCAGACATGGAGGGATGGGAGATTCGATTCGTCAGTACAGGGAAAGAAATACCAGTTCTAGAATGACTCTGACGTACATTTTACTGTGAGGGGCAGGTCAGGCTCAATTCCTGGCAGGCCAGGGGCCCGTTCAACACTTCTTTCATTTAACAAACCCTCGAGTGCCTAGTGAGTGCTCTGGCCCTGTGTGGGTGCAGAGCGGTGTGGAGATAAATGAGATGCGCTCCCTGCCCCCGGGGAGGGCGCTCCCCAGAGGGCCCTCACCCCTCCTGTAAGTGAGCAGAGCTGAGCCGCATCAGAGCACTGGGAGAAGGGCCAGGGACAGGTAAGTTCTCACTAAGCAGGTCGTTCCTGTGTGTGGGTGTGTGCATATGTGTGTGTGCATACATGTATGAAGCCCTAGATGCACCTCTAAGAGAGCTTGTTGCCCTTGGCATGCAAGTCCCACTATGTGCCTTGGGAATAGAGGGAATGAGAGGTGAGCAGGGGCCAGATGGGAAGGCGTTCAGATGCTTAGGATTTGGACTGCTCCCGGGACGTGGACACTGAAGGGTTTTAATCTGTGACCAGGGTGGTGGGCAGGACTTGTTAGAATGGTGGCTGTGTGAAGGCCTGAGTGTCAGGGGAGGTGTGGGTGACTGGGGCTGGGAGACCTTTCCTGAGAGATGGAAGCAGGACTAAAGTTTAGTGATCGGGCATCAGTGGGAATTAGGTTCATGCATTAAGGAGGATTGGGTAAAAATTTCTGTTTTTCTAATATTGCTACTATTTGTGTTTTCCAGGGATGCTAAGAATATGGCCAAGGATGTAAATGATACCCTTGTGGAAATAATAAGCAAAGAGAGTGGAGTTGATAAACTGGAAGCAATGAAAACTTTGGCTACTTTAAAAGAAGAAAAACGCTATCTTCAGGATATTTGGTCATAAAATCAGAAAATGAAGAGAATTTTCTTTGTTTTTGGCTGATAGTGCTAAAAGATGGATTTGAAGCTTTAGACTTTCAGTTTTTAAGATTAAAAACAAAATTAACTTTTCTTGGAGGAGGTAGGATAGGGAGTGGACCACCTACTAGTACAGCAAACTTCTGGTTTGGTTTTCCACTCCCCCCCCAGCTCCCAAAGCGTCCCGTGGCTCGTAGGCCCCCTGAGCTGAGTGGCAGCCCTCGCTGCTCCGCCAGCAGCCACAGGGTCTGCTTCTGCATCCTGGGGAGCGTGGGCACGCCGTGGGGTCCGTGTCTGTGCACGCGGAGGCTTCCCAGTGCGCAGTGTGGGCGCCGGAGTCCGCCAGGCACATGGTTAAGTCTGAACTTGCGTTGCCAGTTTTTTTAATAATGTAGAAATGACTTACCATTCTTATGTGAAATATACTATACAAATATATGTTGAAACTATACTGTATAGCATCAGCATATCTTGAGTACATGCTGATATTTATCAAATGTTTATTTTAATACCAAAACTATTTCTGATAAAATATATTTTAAGGTGATGCTTACAGGGAATTTTTTTTATGATCCTAGAAATGTGAAATATATTTTGAAATTCTCTTCTGGCATATGGGTTTTTTAATCATAATTAGTTTCTTATATCACAGGTTCAGAAATGAGGGACATTTGCATTCAATTTACAGAAGTGAACAAGGATGTATTTTAGTAAAGCCGCCATGTTCTCCGGCCTCCACCTGCCCCCAGATCTTTTCATTTCTGCTCCTTTTGGCGTAATTTTTAATTTTTCCACATAACCAACTTATCTCCATAGTATCACTCAAACTGTAATCTAAGGCTTAAAATGTCTACTTAATATCTTGGTATTTTAAGATTCCTACTACCGTTTGAATATTTATGTTTCTAAAATATATACGTCCAAATCGGAACCTCTTGTGTAATGGTTTGGGGAGGTGCTTGGGTCTGAGTGTGGAGCCCCCTGAACGGGGCCGGTGTCCTTGTGAAAGAGGCCCCTCGCTCCCAGCTCCTCCTGCCCCGCGAGGACACTCAGCAGCCGCAGTCCCCGCAGTCCACAGTCCGCAGGAGGCCTTCCCCACAGCCCGGCCCTGCTGGCAGGCTCGTCTTGGGCTCCCAGCTCCCAGAGCTCGGCGAGATCAGTTTCTCTTGCTATAAGTCACCCAGTGACTGCTTGTTACAGCAGCCTGAATGAACTAAGACAGTTGCCAGGGACAAATTCTCTTAAAATTTGTCAAAGTGTAAGGGCATTTGATAAATTTTTCCTAGGCTCTAGTATATATTGTAGTTGTATTTGACATTAGCATTTTAAAAAACAAATCTCTGTGTCAAAGGCTTCTTCTGGTCTTTGAAAAATAAAGATCTGAAGGAAATTTCATCTTAAGCTTCGATGAAGCTTCATGGCTGTTCCTTACATTTCCTAATCTCATATGTGTATAATTTTAGAACACAAATCTAAAAAGGCAGAAGAAAACATGCAAACACTATGGGACATGCATAATTAAATGTGTATGTTGTATATATCAGCCAAAATAGACTTAAGGTGACAGAACAGTATTTCTTATTGGTAAGACATAACAGTCAGGAAATTGTGCCCACCTACCATCTGTCTGTAAACGTGTGACCTGAAATCCCATCGGTCCCTAAAGAGAAGCTGTCGGATAATGGTGGTGGGCGCTGGGGCTGAGCTGTCTCATTTGGGCACCACGGTCACGTTGTTCCACTGGCTGTTGGATCTCCAGTGTCCGGTGAGGGTCGATCAGCAGATGACAGTGAAAATAGATCCCAGTCCAGATTCCGCTATTGTCTTTAGAGAAAAATATCAGTTTGTTGCTCCACTCACTGAGGCATGCATTGGTTGACTCTTGTATGTGCCCTGACTGGAAATCAGACCTGTGACCTTGGCATATTGGGACAACATTCTAACCAACTGAGCTACCCAACCAGGGCTACCACTGGTTGAATGAAACTCCCGCACTCCGGCTCACTCTTTAGTCAGTCCAGCTGCATCTGGCGTGAAAAGTGTATTCAAAGTGGTGTATTTCAGGGACAGGATTTTGTTCTCATCCCCGCCATTAGCTGCCCTCCAACCCAGTGGTAGACACGGTGCTGTTGGGTTAAGCCTGGAGGGGATGGTTGACCTTGTTTAGGACGGGGTGGGGATTGCCTCTGAATTATTCTATCCAAACTTTAATCTGGAATACCACTAGTTTTACCAGTGAGAGACCCTTTCTAACCTCAGTTACTCTGCCAAACCACGGTTGGACCCTTTGTTTGGGGTACCATCATGCTGATTGGTGGTAGAACTTACAGAAGAGCTGTGGTCACTGTCAACAATACAGCTTTCCTCTTCAGAGTGCTAACTGCACCCAAAGTTCTTCATTCTAACACACCTATGCGTCTGGGTGAAGTATTCTCAATTACACCATAATCCTGGGGCAGTTATCTACTTAGCCATAAACTATCAGGTTAAAAAAGTGAGAATTTGAACTTCACAGTTAGACTGGGTGATGTGTGTGTTGCATCCACTAAACTGGGCACCCACATTGGTCTTAAATATACTCGAAACATTTTTTTAATTGACCATAAAATCTCAACAAATGGCCTAAAATATGGTATTCTTCCCTGACCCTGATAGAATTAATCAACTCTAAAAAGCAACCCACGAAGTTCACAATGAAGAATTTCACATGCAAATGATTCACGGCACGAGGAGAAAATAAAAATGAACATTCAGTACTGACTTTAAAGTATTAAATGCACACGTGGGGTGCAGCCAACACCAGACAGCGAAATCTCATTCGTTCCACAGAGTGTTCTGAGTGCCAGCGATGCCAGGAACTGCACACAGGGCTGTGGACACAGCAGTGAACAGAGGAAAACGCCTTGTTCTTGGGGAGCTTATTTTATGTTGAGGTGAGACGACAAGTAAATTCAATTCTGTGATTTCTGAAAAGGCGATGATGGCTGAGGAGAAAAGCTGAAGGGGGGTTGGCTGGAGGGGTGAGGCAGCTTCAGATGGGGAACACCTCCCTGAGAAGGGCAAGACTTGGAGGAGCCAAAGGAGCCGTCAGTGGGTGTCTTCAGGTAAGGGGTAGTCCGTACAAAGGCCCCCGAGGTGGGGCAGCGTCTGGTAAGTTTGAGGGAAGGAAAGAAATGGGGAGGTTGAAGATGCATGGCCTTGGGGCGTGTGGGTTTTGGTTTTCCCTCGAAGTGATTAGAAAACCTGGGTCAGAGGAGGAACTCTGACCCGACTCCATCCTCCAGTGCCTTACTCCGGCTGTTGTATGTGGCGGAGGCCTGCAGGGGTGTCTATAGATAGAATCTGCACTCTCTTGTAAGGAAAATGTGTCCCTTCTCCCAGTTCATGTGTTTTTTTATCAGTATGACTCATGGGTATTTATTTAATACTTTGTGCTATAATACAAGTATGCATTCTTTTGTTGTCCCTCAAGTACTCCAGCTTTGTCTACTATTGAGGCCTTTTTTGTGTGACTCCCAGGTCACACTGTGGACATGCCTCTGGTTTTGGGAGCACTTCCTTATTTTCTGCCCCCCCAGGTTGCCCCAACATTTTGCATTTTGCCTGCCTCAGTGTTGCAATCAGCCATGTCTCCAAAGAGCACTAACTTCTTTTCTAAGAAGAACCCCAGACAATCAATCATCTCGTCCGTACTATGATTTTTGGTGCGGTCTCTTCTAGCCTTTGACCTGACCTGAATGATAGAACAAGAGGTAGCTTTTGGGGTGGGTCTCATTAGCAAGATGTGTTTAAGACCCATCCGTGTGGTTGTGTGAGTTGTTAGCTGGTTCCGTTTTACTGCAACATGAAATTCTGCTGTATGGATATAACAGCTTTATTCATTCACCTGTTGAAGGTAGCCTTCCTTTCTCCTAGTTTGGGGCAGTTGCAGTTAAGCCACTTTAAACATTTGTGTAGCAATGGCTACGTTAGCGTCAATTTACAATTCACTTAAATACCCAGGAGTAGGATTTCTGAGTCGAATGCCAAGTTTTTCCTTTTCCTTTATTTCTTAAAAAAATATCTTAGAAGCGTCCAAACTGTCTTCCAAAGTGGCTTCCCCCACAATTTCTGTGTGCTGGTCTTCAAGGAACAATTTTAAAGCTTGAGTTTCATGGTATGAGTTTTAGGGTTGATTCTGGCTATTGGTAAATATTTTGTTTTCTGATTGGCTTGATTTAAAATTTCACATCAGAAAAAAAATTGTGTACAGCTGAGAACAAAATCTGAGAAGCGTCCCTGGGTCCACATGAACTTCCAGGGAGCAGCGCCTTGGACACGTTGAGGCTGAGGCTGATGAGCCGGCGCTGCCCTTGGTGCGCGCAGAGCCTCATCGTCAGAGTGTCACATCAGGGAGCGTCTTCCTCTCGCCACCTGTCTTCCAAAGCAGCGTTCACTTATGAAGGGAGACTGGAAGGAAACAATAGTTTTTTCCCCAAATGTTAAAAACGTCACCAGGAACAAAAGTCTGAGGTGGTCTCACCGAATAACAGAACTGAAGTAACTCGTTTGATTTCTCAGTGCTTATAGTCTCTCTGCGGTCATTTTACATTTTGTTAAAATGCCTGTTTAAATGCAGTATTTATCTTTTTTTACTCTAATATTTATTTCACTTCATATTTTTAACTGGCATGATTATGTACCTATTACCAAGTTCGATAAGAAGAAAACCGTCACTCTTCTGTTCCTGCGGTTATCAGATGTGTCTCGTTGTGTAATTACTACTGAAGGTAATTTGTCACATGGAGGGGGCTGGTGCACCATTACCTGCTCGGGGTGACTGCTCCCCCAGAGTGTGGCCTCAGAGACAGGAAGCCGCCTGGCCGAAAAAAGTCAACCCCAGGGTCGGAGGGAATGCAGGAGGAATATCATGAAAAAACAAGAAGATTAAAAAAATGTTTCAATTTTACCATTTTCTTAACATTTCTTCTCCGCTACGTTAAAATACAGAAACTGAAATGCACAATGTCTAGCATATGACTATCATTCCTTTGCTTTCAATGTTTCTGTCATTTGAAAAAAAACCTCTTTGTTTAGTTTGGCACAGTGCCTCCGGATGGCGGAAGCTGAGTGGAGGCGGCAGAAAGGGTACTTTCAGTTTGCTGTCAAACAGTAGTCAAAAACTGAAGGGACATTTGGTCAGGAAGGTCCTGTCTCCTGTAACTTGCAGCCTGGTCACTGGAGGTCACACCATCCGGAATGGGGCAGACTGCCAGCCGGGAAAATCGAGGGACAACTCGATGGCTCACGTCCCACACGCACCCCCCCGAGTCCTCCCGTGGGTGGCGTGGGCTGGTGCCTGCTTTGGGGACCGTTAGATGCCAAGCTTCCTGGCAGCCAGTGTCTTCACAGCACCATTTATTGAAGACTGCCCTGTATCTTTAAAATCATGTTAAATTGAAGAGAAAATGCAAAATGTGTATATGAATTACATGTCAATTTCTGAGCATTCACCCTTTTTAACTTCAATTTTCAGATATATATATAACCACAACTGATCTTTGTTGAAACTGTTGCCAAGGACAAGTGCAATACTCATCCACAAAAGGCATCTCTTACTCCCTGCACAGTGTATGAGGAACCCAGCTTAAAGACTCCTGGAGGCCTCGTGGGCCCTCGTGGCTTCAAATTCTCTTCAGGACACAGCCACACTTTGGTCTGGGTCTCTGAGAAGGCCACACGTGCTCCCCACTCCGACAGCACAAGAGGAGACTTAGTTGCATAGTGTTTCTTTAGTGACTGCTCGTAGAGTTAGTGATGTGTACAGGACGCGCTTCTAATTCTTTTTACCTGAAAATAAACCCTACAGCGTTTTGAGTCAGAGGCTCTAGTTGAACCCAGCAGGGGTGAAACTTCATGACGCCCCACTCCTAGTCTGTTTGCGTTCACGACTAGAACTCAGGCAGATTTTGTGAAAGGCTCCGTGAAAGGCCAGCTTTGGGGGAAATTATTAAGTCTTCATCAATATCAGAAACTGGGTAGGAGTTTTAACCTAAACACAGGAATTCTGATGGCTCATTAGATGAGTTAACACAGGCAGAGGGCTTAGAGCTACATCTGTTACTAAACAAGGATCTGAAAGGCGGTTCGTATTTATTACAAATACTGCTGTTGCTACTGTTACTACTATTACCATGACTTCGACAATTGTCCCTGGAGAAACGTCCTTTGTGAGGGGGTGTGCTCTGAATTTCAGAGGAGCGTCTGGCTCATGGCAAGGGCATTTCGGTTTGTTTTTCGTTCCCCTGGCAAGTCCCCATCATGGCGCCGTTCCAGGACACGCCTCTCTCCACAGTCCTTGATTCAACAGCAGTTCACTCAGCACCTTTCACCAGCTCTAATTCACTTTCCCGAGG